CTTGTTTGGAACTGCTTGTTTGGAACTGCTTGTTTGGAACTGCTTGTTTGGTCCCGTGTTCTGCGTGGAACGAGGTTTCGCGGTCTGGTGCTGGTCCTGTGTCTGCCACTTGAGGGTATGCTCGAGTATATGAATTGGAGGAAAGAGTGACAAAGTTGAACAAAGCCTTTGTGTACTTATCTTTGTGGCATCAATAGAGGTCCAGCGCCAGTGACTTGCTCAATCACTATAGACGCGTGATCGGCCATTGAGCGATAGAACAGGCAGTGCACTGCTCAATAGAGCTCTATTGAAAGCTCTCACGCAGCTGTTATTGAGGCGAACGAGTCTATTCGTCTGTTGCACGTGACTTGGTGAAAATACCGCCCGTCACGATCGCTATTGAGCGTCAATAGGATACCTGCCAGGATTGCCGGTGAAGGCCCAGGTGATGTCGTGTGCTGCTTTCGAATCATACTCGATATTTCGAGCCCGCATACTGACTGCGTGGGTAATGTCGCCGCCAGCACGAACGGTAGAATAGGCGAACATAGAACATCAAGCGAAGTTGTCCCAAGATACTCTCGTGAAGTCTTATTCCCACAGACAGATTCATCTGGTCAATAGCGGATGAAGATCTCTGGAGCCGCCAGGTGTACGCGCTTCATATGTCTTTCTAGGCATACGGGATGAAATGTTACTGATGCGCCACTGAAGCTTGATCTTCTTAGTGATTGGTGCTGCAAAGTCGGACGTCTGGTAGTTGCTGAGTGAGGCATTGGTAGGTAAGTGAAAGATCCGCTAGGGCATTCTTGTACAACTGTTGTGGAGGTGTTCTCTTGGTCAAGTTATCGACTTGCTCAGTGCAGCCACTCTGTGCATACCAGAAGCGATGTTGTTGAAGGAGAAAGGATCGGGAACAAAGGAGGAGCACGACCGAAGACAGCGGCGGACCTGGGTCCGGTTTCGTGCATGAAAGCTCGAGACAGCCCTTCAATGTTTCTGAGATAGGAAGCAGCTCACCCACATCCCTTGCCTCGACGACCTTGACCGGTTTCTCTTATACCGAATGCGCTGCATCGCGCGCTACAGCGCTCGCTTGGCCGGCAACTGTCGAGTGCGAGCTCCATCACAATCCCGAAACCGCGTATCTCAACAACCGCAGCTCCGAAGCTTTGGGCATACCATTCGACCGCAGCAGGACAGTCGCGGACAAAACCCTTCGTCAGATGATCACAACGCACTTGATAGTCGCACAGAGGAGCAAAAAGCGCGCGAACAAGATGCGGCAACGGTGAAGAAGGAGGATGAGACGATCGAGAGTGATGGCACACGCAAGCCCAAGCTGGTGGGTAAGACGTTCAGGCAGAGGAAGAAGGAAGCATTAGGGGGCAGCAGCATCCCTAAACCACCGCCTCTGCCGGACTGGTTTTTACAGCACAATGTCAAGCTCTACGTCGACACCGTAAAGCCTGATAGGCGGGCTAAGAACGCGAAGGTGTTGCGCTGTGTGGACAACGAGACTGGCCATACACTATTCACATTGCCCTACTATGGAGCATGGCCTGTCCCGGGTCTAGTTCCGGAGACGACCTCCACAGTGCCGCCGCAGACTGAAAAAACTGCTTCGTCGCCAAAGAAGTCTTTCGATCAGAACTACTTCGATCACAAATTCACCCCTCTTGATCAGGAGCACGTTGTTTCAGAAAAGCCACGAGATGCACCAGTCACAGCTCAGCCATCGGAGGATCTGTATAAAGACGTGAATCCACATGCTCTCCTACGTTGGGCCATATTGCAAGCAGAGGCTGGAGTGCAAGCGGCATTTTCCATTGCGAGCAATACACCGCACGCCTCTTCGCAGGCAGCATCGAGGCTTGACTTGTCCTTGTATTGCAATGATCCAAACTCGCATGTCCAAATGGACGACTTCGTTGAAGATCTCGCCGCGATTTCCGGAGCACACGTTATACGACTCGACGCCAATGATCTCGCCGATCTAGCGGCCGACTATGTCGGACAAGGAGCAGACTCACCTGAATCTTTCGCCAATCTAGCATACGACGTATTCGGTGGATATACATCACAGACTGTCCCTTCACAGAGGAAAGCCGAGGACGATCAGGACCAGGCCTACGATCAGGACGAGATGGACGATGAGCAGAACGAGGATGCGGAATCACGAAAACCCGGTAGTGCTGGGAACCCGCTGCCATTCAGCCTGGAAGGCCTCAGAAAACAGCTCATGAGCCGCCGCTTCGAGTTGGCAAGAGCATTGAGCAAGGTTGGGCCACAAGATGTCATCATTGATCTGGATACAAATTGGAAGCCCAACACATTTACTCCCGCTAATACACGCAACGATCAAGAATACGACGTTGCCCGACTGACGAATCTCCTGGAGCAAATTCTCGATGCACCTAAGCTTGGTCAAAGCGGAAATACACTGCGCAAATTCAGCCTGAGCCAATCGGAGATGAGGGCGCACAAGGACACGAACAAAACAGACATCTCCCATCAAGCACTTTGGCGAATGTGGCATTCTAGTGCTGGCTGCTGGCGGCCAGATGCAGCAGGTCTGCTTGCAACGCAGATCCGTAATTCGAGTCAGCAAGAGTCACAAGGGCAGCATTCTTTGACAGTAGAAACAATGGACGGCAACAATGAAGCGCCCGCAGAGCACCAAGAATGCACCATTGTACACATCCGCGATTTGCGAGACATTACTGTCTCACGGGTGGGTGAGAGGATCGTCAGAAGACTCGTATCCGTTGTTCAGAAACGGCGCCGAGCTGGCCAAAGGATAGTGATCGTTGGCTCTTCTTGCTGCGATCCTTCTGACTTTGTATCATTACCACAAGCTCTGGATGACTTCCGAACGCTATCTGTTCCAGCCGTCTTCCGCATGTCGAAGCATGATCAGGCTGAGTTCGTCCCTGGCACACCGGCGAACGACAACATCACAATGCCACCGTATAGTCGTATTCTGGAAATCAATCTGCGTCATATTCAGCGAATGTTGCGCAGTCTGCGACCGAGCGAAACGATCGAATTATTCACGGAAGCTGCTCAGCGGCAGCTCAGGCTTGGCGACGATATTCTGGCGAAGAATGTCATGTCGTTTGATATGGTTCAACGTATAGTACTTACTGCCATTGGTCTTTCCGAAACGCACGCTGTTTCTGATCAAGTGAACGCCAGTCATATCGGGCTTGCGACCATGATCACAAGGCAAGCGGCTCAGGTCGAGCGCGACTGGGCCGACTACGTGCGCAGCAAAGACCTGGGCGTGCCATTTACTGATACTAATAACTTCGAGTCGAACGGTACCCCGTCCAAGGCTCCATCTAAACTGGAGAAGATCAAAAAGGATCTGAACCAATATGAAAGTAAACTCTCGACTGGTGTTATCGACGCCGCCAACATCAAAGCTGGCTTTGATCAAGTTCACGCTCCTGCCGAGACTATCGATGCGCTCAAGACAATGAGCTCACTGTCGCTGCTACGGCCTGATGCCTTTAAATACGGTGTGCTAGCTGCCGATCGCTTGCCAGGACTCATGCTCTACGGTCCTCCAGGAACGGGCAAGACGCTTTTGGCGAAAGCTGTTGCGAAGGAGTCTGGATCTACAGTCCTGGAAGTCAGTGGTGCTCAGATCTATGAGAAATATGTTGGAGAGGGCGAGAAGATGGTACGAGCAGTCTTTAGCCTGGCTAAGAAGTTGTCGCCTTGCATTGTCTTCATCGACGAGGCAGATGCTATCTTTGGCAGTCGCAGTTCTGCCGGCAACCGAAACACGCATCGCGAGATCATCAACCAGTTCTTGCGTGAGTGGGATGGAATGGACTCGCACAATGTGTTCATTATGGTTGCAAGCAACCGACCCTTTGATCTTGACGATGCTGTACTACGAAGGCTACCTCGAAGACTCCTTGTTGATCTGCCCGTTGCGAAAGACCGAGAATCTATTCTCAAGATCCACCTTCATGACGAAGCACTCGACAACAGTGTCGATCTGACCAAACTCGCTGCCGACACCCCTCTTTATTCCGGCTCCGATCTCAAGAACCTCTGTGTCTCTGCCGCGCTCGCATGTGTGCGTGAAGAGAATGATCTGGTAGAAAGCAAGAAGGGTGTCGACAAAGACTTCAAACTCCCCGAGAAGCGAACGTTATCGGCTAGGCATTTCGAAAAGGCGATCAAGGAGATCTCTGCATCGATTAGCGAGGACATGGGCTCGTTGGCTGCGATTAGGAAGTTCGATGAACAGTATGGTGATCGCAGGAATCGGAGAAAGAAGACGCAGTACGGGTTTGGCGTTGGAAATAGTGGCGTTGATGAAGATGCGGCGAGGGTGAGGCAGGGGTCGAGTGAGGTGCAGAGCCCATCGACTTCTTCACCGTCGCCGGGTGCACCTCCGCCGTGAAGGGAAGGGGCAAGTACCTATGAGATGACATAGATAATAGAGATGTGTCTTGCACAGAAGTGACTGCTCGTTACCCCTTAGAAGACCATTGCGTGCCTCCTTCAACGTGTCTCCTGTCCTGCTTTCGATCCAGCTGCAAATTCGTCGTGCATCTATGATGGCAACCGACCAGATTGTTTGCTTACAAATTCGCATCAGAGCATAGCCACAAAGATATCCTTGCACATCGACTAATCAATGCCTACGAGAACAGCGATACTGAGAATTTCTGCTAGCCCTGCTGAAGCAGAACCTACTACAGTTCTAGACAGATCCACATATCTCTGGCACGCCACCACAGAACACGCACGCCAGGCAGAGTGAGATCATGGAATGCGCAAGTCCCAAGACGGAGTTAGGAAGAGCGATACTGCTTGAAAGCCGGCTCTCACATAGCTACTGTAGCAAACTAGGAGGCAGTACCTCCCTGGTAAGGTACGGGTGAGACTACCACAGTAGAAGACTCTGCTCGCGTGCGTGTGCTTTGCATGCGGACAATGCGGCCGCATTGTGCTTACGGTATGGCAAAGCCCGGGAATCGTCAAGAGGAGGAAAAAATTGCAGACTAATCATGCGTTTGAACAAAGCAAAAGGTTCAAATGTATACGCAATTCTCGGCTTGGAGAAGGCTTGGCTTGAGTAGGTGTGGAGGCTCGTTTGGCGCGTGGTGATGCATGGAACGGAGCAGAGGTGCAGTAGGCTGCATTTGAGCTTGGCGTACTACGATACGTTGTGCGTCCGCGGAACAAAGAGACAATGCAAGCCATGTACGTGGTAGATTTTGGAGATGGTGGTCATGTGGGATGTTTTGTGATACTATCACTGTATTTGTTCATGAATGGGAATAGGATCGTCGGATGGAAGATGACCCGTGCGTTCGAAAAGCTTTTGCTTGGGAACTCGAACGGGCATGGGAGCGTGGTCGATCGTGTTTGGTTTGGACATGGCATGTTGCCGGCACGGCGTCAGATCTCACGCTTGAACATCCGAGAGAACGGGTTGTTGGCCGAAGTGGGAGTAGCAGTTCTGATGAAACGCTCGTTGTGCATAGCGATAGAAGGCCGGGCGGCGGGTTCGTCGTGCTGTAGCCTGTGCACTGCCACGCTGCCTTCTGAGCACTCCGCGGCCAACCAACCAGAAGCGCCAGCCTCTTGGCCCTCGCGAGCGAGAGATGGCGAGCGGCGTCTGTCAGATCTGCTGCGCTGCTGTACGAGGACTCTCTCCGCTAATCATTCCGCTTTCTACTTCTGCTCCTTCCCTCTCTCATTCACCACTTGGCTTTTCTCTTTATTTGTTTGTCGCTCGCTGACATCCAATCTTGGACTTGGTACCGACCGCCGAACGATTTGGGAATTCGCCGGACATTCGAGACAGCCTACCCATTCATCCGCCACATGATAGCTACGCGCGACTAGGACTCTCACTCCCCTTCCTCGCCTCTCCGCAGGCACTGCGCTGTCCCTCGCGCTCTCGCCGCGGCCATGCGCTGCCAACTCCCCTTCTCCCTGCTGGCATACGCGGCGTCGACGCTCCTCTCGGCATCAGCCAGCAGTACCACCCGGAACCCCATCGGAGCCATTTCAACGATCCAGAATGCGACAATCCACACTCCCAACCACCGAGTAACAGCGCTCCACGAATTCGACCTCACATTCGCTGTCCGTGACGAGTTGCATGTACGATTCCATCTAGAACCCAACCACGATATCCTCCCCGAGGGCGCAACAATATCATATGTTGACGAAGATGGCACGATATCTCGACATGAAACAGTCGACAGGTTAGCGCATAAAGTCTACCGCGGGACGGCATGGATACAGAAGTTGGGGAATGAAGTAGATGAGTGGAGGCATGTTGGATGGGCGAGAGCGTCGATTGTGAAAGATGGACGAGAACCTATCTTTCAAGGAGCATTTTCGATAGAACGGGATGCACACCATGTTCAGACTGCAAGGAACTATATGCGAACAAGGCACTTGGACGATCCTACCATTGAAGTTGAGGACGCGAACGGCATGGTGTTGTGGAGAGACTCGGACATTCGGCGTGACTTCCAGGTCCTAGGACACCAGGAGTTGAAGCGCGATGCTCTACCGGAGCCGGTATGTCAGGCTGATGCCTTGGGCTTCAATACCAGAGGCGATCACCCGGTGTACATGGCCATGAAGTCGAAGCGTTCAGAACAGCGTTACGGGAGGATGGACTTCAGCCATTTGTTCGGCAAGCGCCAGGATCTCGATGGAATGACTGGTGGCAACAGTGCAGGAGGCAACCTGATCGCCAGTCTTGGTTCGACTGCTGGATGTCCTACAACACGCAAGGTCGCCTTGATGGGTGTGGCCACGGACTGCACTTATACCGGCGACTTCGAAGATGAACAAGCTGCCCGAGAGAATGTGATCGACCAGGTCAACAGGGCGTCTGCCATCTACGAGAACACCTTCAATATCTCGCTCGGACTACAGAACCTGACAGTGTTCCCTGCGAATTGCCCTGGAACTCCGGTTGCTGCGTCCGAGTTCAATCAGCAATGCTCTGGTAGCGTCGACATCTCGGATCGTTTGAACATGTTCTCCCGATGGCGTGGCTCGCAAACCGACTCCAATGCCTTCTGGACCCTGCTCAGCTCTTGTGGCACTGGATCTGCTGTCGGACTTGCATGGCTAGGACAAGCATGTGTCGGTACCACAATAACCACCAATGGCAGTGTCACCGGTGATGGCCAATCAAATAGTGGTGGACAAGAATCCGTCACTGGCGCCAACGTTGTCATCCGAACACAGGGTGCTTCTGAATGGCAGATTATCGCTCACGAGGTTGGCCACACTTTCGGTGCCGTTCACGACTGCACTTCCAGCTCGTGTGCCAACGAGGAATTCGTCCGATCGCAACAATGCTGCCCACTCGACGGAAACACCTGTCCTGCCGGAGGCCAATACATCATGAACCCACAGACGACTCAGGGCGTCAACGAGTTCAGTCCTTGCTCTGTTGGCAATATTTGCAGCGCTCTGCTCCGTAATTCTGTCAATGGCGAGTGCTTGACGGACAATAGAGGTGTCACTACGATCTCGGGACAGCAATGCGGTAACGGCATCGTCGAGCCTGGCGAGGATTGTGATTGCGGGGGTGAAGAAGGATGCAGAGACGATCCATGCTGCAATCCGACCACCTGCAAGTTCACTTCAGGATCTGTGTGCGATGACTCCAACGAGGACTGTTGCCGCAACTGCCAGTTCGCTTCGGCGGGTACTGTCTGCCGGTCTAGCACTGGCCAGTGTGATCCTGAGGAAACCTGTTCTGGCTCGTCAGCTACCTGTCCTGAGGACCAGACTCAGGAAGACGGCACCAGCTGTGGAGATGGCTTGGAGTGCGCCAGTGGTCAATGCACCAGTCGTAACCAGCAGTGCAGAACTGTCATGGGCAGCTATACTCAGAACAACGACACGTATGCTTGTGACAGCCAAGGTTGTCTCATTCGATGTGCCAGTCCCGAATTCGGAAGGAATGTCTGTTACAGTCTGCAGCAGAACTTCATTCCCGGCACGCCGTGTGGCGGTGGTGGTCGATGTGCTCAAGCAGTAAGTCATTTCCTCAGCATCTGCTATCATCTGTCAGTATAGTCCGCTAACATCAATAACAGGGCCAATGCAGAGGCGCCACTACCGGCGGCCAAATCAAATCCTGGATCGAAGACAACAAAGCCATCGTCATCGGCGTTGCCTCCGCAGTCGGTGGTCTCATACTCTTCGCCGTCCTCGGTTGCCTCTACCGCTGCTGCAAACGCGGTGGCCGCAGAAGAAAGGCACCTGTCGCACCTCGACCACCTCCTGGAGGCTGGCAAGGCTGGAATGGCCCCAACAACAACCGAGGCGGTCCTCCTATGCAGCACCAAAACAGCTTCTACGCTCCTTCTTCGCATCCGAGTCAAGGCTGGGCGACTTCAAATCAGAATGCTGGTGGCTGGGATGCGCCTCCTGTTCCGCCTCCGCCCGCTTATCATCAAGCTGGGTCGCCGCCTCCTCCTATGCATGATCAAAGGAGTAATAGTGTGCGGTATGCTTAGATGAGATGGCCTCGTCGGCCTTGTTTGCATTGGACGAGGAAGAATTCTGGATTTTTGCTTGCATCTTGCATTTTTTTGGCACACCTGAATCAGGTCCCATACCACACAGTCTTCACGAAGTTTACGGCCACCGATTGGGAAGAAAACCCCATATCGATCTTGCATAGTTTTTGTTTCTGCTTTTGTTTTTGCTTTTGTAGTGTTGGCGGAAAGAGCTTCATTGAGCAGAAGAGACGTTTGACATCCTTGAACAGGAAGAGAGTCGTTGTTGCCGTTGTTGCCGTTGTTGGAAAGAAAATCAAAGCGAGCTCAGTCGAGATGAGGGGATCGCAGAATCGGTCATTTTATTACCAGAGAGATAAAGGCTTCAGGTGTACATATTTATATTGTTGCATTGCAGCATGTGAAGCGGAGAAGCAATAGAGAGAAAAGGTGCTTGTGCAGGATTTGACCGGATCGTGCAGTGGGATATAGGATAGCGGTGAATGAAGAAAGTGTTTGAGACATTTAGAAAAGAAGAAGAGTTCTGTGTGAAACATATATGTGGCCGCCTACGCACACGCGTGTGGTCCCGAAGGTGGTCGAGAGGAACAGGACAGGCACGCGTTGCAGCACGAACGGGTGCATAAGGCAACCAGGCATCAAGTGTTTGTTGGAATCTTTTGATGAAGTTGATGAAATGTCACGCCGTATAGATAGAGTACGTATCTAGAGAGATAAAGATTCGAAGACCAGCAAAAGGTATCGGATATCGCCAACGCGCTCTCTCGAAGAGAAGAGAAAAGAGATGAACTGTCAAGAAATACTTGGATATCCCATCAGTCCATATCAGCCTTCATCAAACATCATCGTCATCATCAATTCATGACCTTCACACCACCACCTTTACTTCTTATCCTTTGGCTTATTCTCCTTCACATTCTCAATAATCTTATCCACGACACTCGGATCCGCAAGCGTCGAAGTATCACCCAACTGATCCTCCTCCCCAGCCAAAATCTTCCTCAAAATACGTCGCATAATCTTACCCGAACGCGTTTTGGGCAGATCCGGAATAATAAAAACTGCCTTCGGAGCAGCAAAAGGTCCAATAGATTTTCGGACTTGGAGGACGAGATCTTTCTTGAGTTGATCGTTGACTTCGTTTCCGTCTTTGATGGAAACAAAAGCGTTGACAGCTTGGCCGGTGAGTTCATCGTTGATACCAACGACGGCAGCTTCACCGACAGCGTTATGTTCGATGAGAGCAGCTTCGATTTCTGCGGTGGAAAGACGATGGCCGGAGACGTTGACGACGTCGTCGACGCGGCCTCGGATCCAGTAGTAACCTTCTTTATCGCGGGCTGCTCCGTCGCCGGTGAAATAGTAGCCTTTGTAGACGTTGAGGTATGTGTCCATGTATCTCTTGTGAGCGCCCCAGACTGTGCGGGCCATGGATGGCCAGGCTTGTTTGAAGGCTAGCACGCCTTCTTTGTCGTTTCCGGAGATTTCTTCGCCCGAGACGGGGTCGATGAGGGCGGGTTCGATGCCGAAGAAGGGGAGGGAGGCGGAGCCGGGTTTGGTGGGGGTTACGCCGCCGAGAGGGGTGATTACGTGGGAACCGGTTTCGGTTTGCCAGTACGTCTGTGGATTTTGTTAGTGTTTTGTATGGAGGTGTTGTTGGGGTTATGTTGCTCACGTCAACGATATGTGCTTCCTTCTTGCCGACAATCTCGTGGTACCACTTCCAGACTTCTGCGGCAATTGGCTCTCCGACAGATCCCAGAACACGGAGCGACTTCATCTGCTGCTTGACGTGCTCGTCACCTGCTCGCTTGAGCAGACGCAGAGCAGTTGGGGCCACGTAGAACTGCGTGACTTGGTGCTTCTCGCAGACATCCCAATATCTGCTGAAATCTGGGTACGCTGGAGTACCTTCGAACACAACAGTAGCAACGCCAAGAACCAGAGGTGAGTAGACGACGTAGGTATGTCCTGTGATCCAACCCACATCACCTCCGCAGAAGAATATATCCGAATCGTGAATGTCGAAAACGTACTTGCCAGTTGCTGCTGCTCCCACAAGGTATCCGCCAGTAGTGTGCATGACACCCTTTGGCTTGCCAGTAGAACCAGATGTATAGAGCAAGAAGAGTGGGTCTTCAGCGTTCATACTCTCTGGTGCATAGTACGCTGGCCACTTCTCCATCTCCTCGTGCCACCACAGATCTCTACCCTTGGTCCATGGAACTTCGGCACCAGTACGTTGGTATACCAAGCAGTGTGTGACATCTGGGCATTGCTTGAGAGCCTCGTCCACAATCTTCTTTGTGCCGATCAGCTTGCCTCCACGCTTGCCCTCGTCTGTGGTGATGACCACTTTGGACTCGGCATCGATAATGCGGTCTCGGAGAGAATCGGAACTGAAGCCAGCAAAGACGACAGAGTGAACGGCTCCGATACGGGTACATGCGAGGAAAGCGATGACTGCTTCGGGAATCATGGGAAGGTAAAGTGCAACTGTGTCACCCTTCTTGACGCCCATCTGCTTGAGGACCCACGAGAGCCTCGAGACTTCTCGGAGAAGCTCTCCGTAGGTGATGGTTCGGCCTTCTCCCTTCTCATCAGCTTCGTAGATGATAGCTGGCTTGTCTGGATTCTTGTGTGCATGACGATCGACGCAGTTGTAGGATGCATTGAGTCTGCCCTCTGTGAACCAGGCGTTGTCACCGTTTGTGAGAGAGCCAGAGTGTACTGTCTGGAAATCCCGTTCCCAAGTCAAAAGCTCGCGTGCAAGCTTGCCCCAGAATTGGTCGGGGTTCTCAATGGATTCCTGGTACATTTTCTTGTACTCATCGAGAGATCCAATGTGAGGTTGCTTTGGGTGCTTCCTGTGTAAAAGGTCAACATTTGTTCCCAGGCTTCAAGTGCTGTCGTTGCTTTTGCTCACTTCAAGAAAGCCTCCGGGACATGGTATGTTTCCGCAGAGTGCGACTCTGGGATGCCATTTGGTGGCTGCTCCGTGCCCTCGGACATGGCTCAAGCAGTTGTTTGGGTGCTGTATGAGCTCTGGTCTTGCCGCAGCTTCGGTGCTACAGCAGAAGTGAATGCGGTTCCAGGTGCAGTCAGGAGGCAAGTGGTGAGTTCGTGCGCAGGTACAGAGCTTCTGGAGCTTTTAAAATATCTCGGACCAGCGGTGCCGGCTAGGATGTCAGTTAGCAGTTTCCGAGGTGAGCGATTGCGGGTTCTTAAGCGTGGACCCACAGCTTGTTCGAGGCGCGTGTGTGCTCTGGCGGAAGTGGGAATTGGACGAGAAGCGGAAGAAGCAGCGCGATGGTGGAAGAAGTACTTTTGTGAGCGGTGGGCCAGCTGGAGCGACAGCTTGTCGTACGTCAAGCGCCATCGCCAGACACTGCGAGCATCATTGCCCAGACCGCGAGCCATCCCATAGCGATACAGCACGCGCTCCGAGACCCCGCCAACCGCTGACGTTTGGGAGGGGTGCTCCAGTTTCTTGGGCGACCATGCACGCCAAGCAACTTCTCAGCCTCTTCCATTCGACCGCCGCTGAGATCGGCTGCGGAAATGGGCGATGATATGGCCAAAGAGCTAGCTGCAGTTATCGACTTACACTGTGTGCAAACTTGTCTGACTTTCAGACACTTGGATTGGCCAGAACCATCGCGCTTCTCCAGCATTATGCCCCAGCTCCAAGATCATTTCAGAGACGCTCTACCGACTCCCGCACACGACTCCGGCTGGGAGCTCTGCTCTACCGTCATCGCCATATTTCTGTTCAGAAAGGCTTGGAAGCTGCCGTTCAGCACGCGAGCTGCCCATGGCCCATGTCGCCATGCTTCTTGTGGGAATGTGTACTGCGTCGCGAAGCATCAATGGCGGAGCATGAGTTCTCAGCAACATGTCCGAGTGTGCAGGCTTGGTCTCCGTATAGCCGCCGCAGCAGCCGCTCTGAGTCCATCATGGTCGGCAGTATCGCGTGCTCCGGACGACCAGGATGCTTTTCGTGCTATCTTCCTCCTCCTGACCGAATTTACAGTTGCAGCCGACCGGCAACCGCTTGAGCGCTGAAATAGGCGGCCGCAAGCAGACTCGGCAGAGCCTCAGGAGGCGCTAAGCACAGGGATACGCGGGTCTCCAGCCGACGGCATTGTTTCATGGTCGCAAGTGTCTATGCATGTGAGGCAGCAACAGAATGATGTCGGTGGTGAACGACTCGTGTTTTAGTACCACCTCAGTCTGTCGCCGTCTACATTGACGAGCTCGTCTTGCTCTCCAGAAGTGAATGGTCGTTGGGCCAATGATAACAACTGCCAATGCCCCATCCATTTACGGCCTTGTGGCTGGTCCCTGAGAGGCACTAGGAGGTATGTCGCGTCGAGCAAGGCGCTCGTGTTGCTGGCACCTCTTCTGTTCACTTCACGCGCACATATCCACGTGAACGTGAACGCTGAAAGAGTGATGTGCGGTGAGGCGTGCTATGAGCGATAACGGGCGGTACTTTGTTGTTCTGCCGGGCAACCACCTTTCGCGCATTCCGCAGTTACGGCAGTGATGCTTCACTAGAGACGATACCATTGACCCAGCCAGCCGCTTCTCGACTCCACCGAGCGGACTATGCGCTGCCGGCCTCGCAACAGCCCACCACACTCGTTTGATGAGAAAGGATGAGCGCGCTCTACGGCAGCATACGACTCACGCCCTCGAACTCGCCCTTCCTCCGATCCCCGAGCCCACGTTCTCCCACGAAACACGCCAAAGAAGAGCCGTGCTTGCACCTGCACAAAAGCATAGGAACCACAACAGTAGCTGTCAGTGGCTTCGACAACCTGTACAGTCGCAGCAAATTCGCGTACACAGCGGGAGCTGCTGCCGTGGTCGTCACAGTCGACCAGGATCTCAATATTACACAAGACTTCTTCCGTGCGAAGCCAAACTCGAATGGTGGGGCGCGCGATACTGTTGGAGGATGGCCTTCCACACCCACACCCAGACCGACCAGCCAGCTGATCAAAGAAGGCGCGTCACCTCTAGGCGCTGCGAGTCGAGACTGGTCAGACTCGCCGACTGGGCGGTCCTCGACAGCTAAAGATCGGATCAAGAGCGCTACTTCTGTAGCATTGAGCGCCAATGGGAAGTGGCTGGCTGTAGGAGAAACTGGATACCGTCCTCGGATCCTCATCTTCGCGCTCAAGGAGGGTTCTTCCGAAGCTCCCATCTGCATCCTGTCAGAGCACTCATTCGGAGTGCACGCCCTCAGCTTCAGCCCGGACTCACGATATCTGGCCTCTTTGGGGACAGTCAACGACGGCTTCTTGTATGTCTGGAACATCGAAGAGCGCACTGGCATTGCAAGTCTGCATGCCAGTAACAAATGCACGACCTTCATAAATGACATGACATGGATGGGCAATAGCATCATCACGGCAGGGCTGCGATTTGTGAAAATATGGAGGCCGGACGAGGATGCGCCGAGCGAGGCGCGAGAAAGTACTCGCCATGCCTTAACAACACCGCGACCGCGATATGAAACCAGGAATTCCGACTACGGCAACAGCATATTGACTCCAAAACACCGGGTGCTAGCAGGCAAAAACAGTCTGCTCGGCGAGCTGCTGGATGCCGCGTTTGTTTCAGTCACTGCAATATCCGACTCCAAATCTTTGCTATGCACAGAGGGTGGCGAGATCTGCTTGTTGGATGACAGGGACAAAATGCAATCTCTCAGCCTTGCTGTATACACAGGCTCCACCATTAGCACGGCTCGAAAGGACGATCGTGATATGTTCCATGTCTACGGTGCAAATGGCCAAACATCATACCTCATTCCAGATTTGCAACGCCGAGCTTCTAGCAAAGTGACGAAATCACCTTCCACCTCGCCATCCAGAGCTGCATTCCCCCAGAATATCACCATTGCAGCTGCCACACTGGACAATGCGATAGTGACGATTGACTCGAATCGCAGCATTCGAATGTCGAAACGCGCAGATGACCTCTCCACAGACACTCAATCCTCTCGCTGTCTTTCGGCCCATCAAGATCCTGTGCTTGGTGTGCTACCATTTGGATCCTCGATCTACTCAAAAGCCGCATTTTGCACCTACTCAGGAAAGGGAGCTGTGCATTTCTGGGACGCAGAAGGCGACACAGTCTCGGAGACAATTCGAATGCCTATGGAGTATTCGGATGCCTCCGGCAACGTGAATGAGATGCGAACACTGGCGGTGCTGAGCGATGGCTCTATGCTCGCCTCTGGTGACAAATTTGGCGCTCTCGCGCTCGTGGACCTCCGCACGAAAAAGGTCAAGTGCCACATCAGAGCTCATACTGCCGAAGTGACAGCACTGTTGGCTTTTGAGCGTGACGGAGTGGAGTTCCTGGCCTCTGCGAGTCGAGATCGCACAATACAGCTCTTCATGTGTGACGGCGGAATCCTGGATCTGGTACAGACAATGGATGAACATGCTGGCGCTGTGACCGGGCTACTCCTGTCTGAGAATGGCCAGCACCTTATGTCATGCTCCGCCGACCGCTCAGTAGTCGTGCGCGAAGCTTGCATACGGAAAGCCGATGATCCGCGCACTTTAGCATTTGCTATGCTCAGAGCGATCACTCTCAAATCTGCGCCCACAAGCATGTGTCTTGCTGGAAGTCCGGACACCATTCTAGTCTCGAGCACCGACCGAGTAGTGGCGAAGTTCAGCACGAAAACTGGCACTTCCGGCTTCAGTTTCAAATGTGCAGACAATGAAAATGGAGAAGCCGTCGTGCTGTCCAAGATCTTGTTCGCACCTTCACTCAATGGTAACCCCACCATTGTGGGCGTCTCGAGCACGGACAAATCAGTTCGCCTATATACCGACTATGGAAATTTGGTAGCCAGGGATTGGGGGCACACAGAAGGCATCACTGATGCTGCCCTAATTGCAGCGTCAATCACAAGCAAGGTTGAACAAAGTGCTTCTCCTCAGATCGTCACTGTCGCTGCCGATTCGACCATTTTCGTGTGGCATGGCACGGCAACCACGCGTTCGAGCACACAAATGTCGGACCACAGCAACGGCGAAAGTGCGTCGACGCCGACCACCCTCGGCCCACCTCTGCGGAAGGTGCTATCACATTCGGAGATCTCCAAGATTCGGCGCGACCGGGCCGCAGAAGTGCAGGACCCACCCTCGCCTTGCAACACAACTGCTGTCCAGCCGCCATCGCCGCCAAAGGTCAGAAGAAAGACTAGTAGGATTTCTTTAGCACAAGCGCCGCGACTTGAACCTGGCTTCCGAACAAATTATGACACATCTAGGCGACGAAGTCTGCGTCACCGATCACCTTCACCACCGAGTCCACGGAATACTAAAAAGGAGAATGTTCGCAGCACTTCCCAACTGGGCATGTCTCTTCGCTCCAAGAGTAGCGAGAACGTGCTCAGGACGACTGCCACTGTGAGCAATGGCTCTGGTTTCGGGACGATTACGGCATCGACTGATTCCGTTTGCCGCACGCTCCGAATGTACCGCAAGAAGCTCGCTATCGCGTCCAGCAACGACAAAGTCACACCTGATGCATTCAAAGAGCTAGAAAAGGAGTTACGGCTAACCGCGAAGATGTTGAGCGAGAAGACCGAGGGCACGTCGCTGGATGATGACGCGATTACAAGGATCCTTCGTAGGACCTCCAGCAAAACGAATTACAGGGTTGACGAGAAGCTCAAATCACGGGACGATGGCACGCCGAACAGAAATAGCGATTCTGCATCACCTACTTCTCCGGAGATCGGACTACCTGCTGTGCATGAGGTGCGAAGTTTCGAGCGGTCGGATACCGCACCCGGGGCACTTGAATCCGCGAAAGTCATCTCTTGACGAACATAAAAATACCGCAAGGTTGAATCCACTTCTTCTTTGGATCTACTTCATTGCTTGGTTCTAAACTTCTTTTGGGTAGCAGCATGGAATGAGCGAAAAACTTGATTGTCTCGGCGAAGATCTCGAAACCAGGCATTGGGCGGCGTTGATTAAGATTCCCCATTGAGAAGGCAGGAAGAAGAAGAGACGTTGGAAGAGATTTTTGCCCCCATGATACCCACTCTTCCATCAAATCCGTATGTATCAGTCCGAGAAATTTTATTCAAGCATTTTTGTTCACGTTTCTTGACGACTTGCATTATGTATTTCGTGCTTCTGCCATGTGCTGCTATGCTTACGTGCTGAGTCTCTGGCGGTCTTTCTACCTTAACCAAGAAACGAACAGACCAAGAACAAGGTCGATCATCGTGACGAACAGAACCTGGAAGACAATACCATGACGGCGCTGAAGTGCTGGACCAAGCAAGAGATGACGACGCGAGTCATGATCTTCACTCCTTTTGATCTGTTTGATCCTGGTCTAGCCCCGGATCTGCTTACTAGGATCTTGCCTCTCTGCTGGGATTTCTGGGAAGCTAGGGTGGTTGGTTGGGGCTGTTTCTTATGTCCTCCGATCCGTTCGGATTTCGGCTGAGATGAGGAAATGGAGTTGATTAGTGATGGTGCATAGAAAGAAGAGAGGAAGAAGTCGTTGCTTGGAAGCATAGGTGTTGTGGAGCAGGAGAATCCCAAGGAAACGTGGTGCAGTAGGACATTGTTTGATAAGGTTGAGATGTGGATGATGACATCGATTATTGTGAAGCATCATCGCTTTTCTCTTTGATTAGTATGCTTCGTTTGCTACGTGGTTTTGTCTTGGAGATGGAGTGTCTGGCAATGGTGGATGAGGTAAGAACTCAAAGATGGTCTCTTTTTTTCCTGTTCGTCGACAGCTTCTTCGGATTGGACCCTGAGTGTTCTTATGGCCGAGAAAGTTGTGCATTGTTGCAAGGACGAGGTTGTTTTGTGGTTTCATGGGGGGCCTGTGCGTTCTGGGCCGTCCGTTCCTAGGGTCAGTCAAGCTGGTGGTGCTTTCGTTTCGCTTGCTTCACGGGACACTCGCCGAGACATGCATACCGCTGCAACAACCCGCTTTGCAGCATTTGAAGATGGCGAGGCGGACTACTGCGCACTTGTGCAGTTCAATCTAGTTGTCCGAGAGGGACTTGGCTTTCTTTTAATCTCACTGCGACGCTTCCAGTGGGAATACCAAGGTGACGGTTTGATTACCGCCAGCATCTGGCAGGTAACTGTGCTCCTCGCCCAGGATCTTGCTCGATTGTGCAGGTGCAGGACTTGGGGTATACCATGGTCACCATGTACTGGTCATCGGCTGCTCGGGTGCTTTTTGGTTCCATCACATCCCCATGCGACACGCACACACGAACTGGGCATGGAGAAGTTTATATTGACTTCTTCACTCTGGCTTAGGTTTAACGGTCCTCCGCCTTTCCAGTCGTCTGGGTTCTTGCCGGTCATCTTTGTGGCATCCGATCTCTATAGGCTTTTGTCAGGGTGTTCCACGGGCATTCTGCGGCGTGCACTTCTGTTCTCTAAGTTCCAAGTCGACTTCGTGCGTAGCTTTCTTCAGTTCTTCCTTTCCTGGGTCGAGGCTTACCTCCTCTTCTCCTCAATTTGGCCAGTGCAAGAGTGCTGAAGCCGTTTCGACATCACCTTGTTCCTACGGATTAGGCCTTCTTACCATTAGTGGTAGTTATCCCGACAACCACAAGTACCACACTTGACGACACTGCTTCTTCTCGACGATTCAATTGTCGGGATATCCTGACAGCGCGAAGGAGGGGAGGTGCACAACAGGATCGCCAAAATGCTCCCGTGTTGATGACGGGAGCAAGACTACATCATCGATTCAGCGAAATCTTGCGTCGCAAATACACAACGCTCGTATGCGACGGCGTTTGAGAAGGTGACGAAAAGGCCGTTGGACTATACAGGGCAAGACACCGAAGACGAGAGAGCTCGATTGCGGCAAACCAAAATGACCTCTGGCCATGCCTCACCGGCGGCAGTGGTGGCCGTGGCCATCATCATGACCGTCCTTGCTTGCATATTCGTCGCGATGCGACTGTATGCGCGAATATGCCTGGCAAGAAGCGCGGGATGGGACGACTTGTGCATATCATTTTCCATGGTTGGTCCTCTCCTCCATCTCTCCGTCCGCGGAGATCTTCTCGGAAAATGTGATCTCGAATGAAACGCGAAATGCTGATGTTTGGTCGTGCAGCTCTTCGCAATCGCGACCATGGTCGTGATAATTCTCCAAGTCGAAACAGGAATGGGCAGACATTCGAAAGACATCGAACCGCATGAGTTGACGAGGAATTTGAAAGCTGTGAGTTCCTTCCAGCCTCCATACGGGATACTGCAAAGTCATTGTCGTGAAAAAGTGAGCTGACAGCTCGATCATCCAGTTCTGGGTATCGCTCTACGTGTACAACATATCCCTCACACTGTCCAAAGTCTCTATCCTGATCCAGTACTTGCGGATTTTCCCTCAGAGGTGGTTCCGGATATCCACATGGTGTCTGATGGCCTTTATTATCGCTTACGGAATTTATGCTGTGTTGACTGCGATTTTCCTGTGCTGGCCGATTGCTTATTTCTGGGACCGGACGATTGAGGGTGGGAAGTGTTTGAATCAGTTCGCGATTTGGTGAGCGTCATCTGAGCGCGCTTTTGGAGTTGGGAGGCTGACTTCGATCAGGTTCACCAATGCGGGCCTTAATATCGCAACCGATATAGCGACCACAATACTTCCACTTCCCGTCCTCAACGCACTCGAATTACCCAAACGACAACGACGGGCGTTGATGCTGGTCTTCGGCCTGGGAGGGTTCACGTGCATCATCTCGATCCTGCGGTTACAGTCGCTATATGTGATCGCCAACGCTGAAGATGTGTCCTGGGAGAATCCATTGGCCGCAATCTGGTCAGTCGTCGAAATGAACACAGCAATCATCGCATCTTGTGGTCCAACCATAAGACGACTTTTCCCAGCCTTGCTCAAAGCCACCAGCATCGGCGGAAGTCTCTCCCATACCAATCCTGACAACTTAGGCCGAACAGGAGGCTCCAAAGGCCCATGGACTGCATCTGGCACAGGAGCCGGAACATCAGGAACCCACTCTTCGAACAAGTCGCCGTTCACGAGTATGATGAGATCAGGGCGTAACCACAACATTCCTCCTCCAGTAGGAGCGTACCACAGCATGCCTGAAAATGATAGCAGAGGCGATGGATTCATCGCACCAAAGAGTGGACTGCTGGTAGGAAAATCGAAAAGCCATATCCGAGCGCAAGACAGCATGGATGATATCGAATTGCACCAACATATGCCTTTCCCGCAGGGAAAAATACATGTTATGACGAGTATTGAGCAAGCCAGAGATGAAATGGAACGAGAAAAGAGTCGTGATGGTGATGGGTCGGAAAGTACCAAGGAGTTGGTGCGGGAGAGGACACATGATAGACGATCTTCATGAGCATTGAGCTGGTCTACATCTTGTTGCTTGCCTATCTTGCTTTGCCATCATTTCGAGCACGCATGCTTGTGGCAGGAGCGACTGTTTATGTACAGGACATAGCAAGTCCCGCCATGATGAAATGCGATCGTACTCGGCGTATTGGCCATTGTCGACTTGACTGTACGTCCGTCCTGCAACAGCAGGAGGCCCAAGTTACACGCGGCCGCAGCGGTCATTCTCGACACGGAATATTTCTCAACGTGTCGAACACTGCGGCCAGCAATTTTTGAGCCCTGTGCCAGGATAACCGGAATTCCGCAAAGGGCACACGCCTGGCAAGATGACCCGTCCAGTCGAGCCAGTTCCTAGCTCAGCGGTCTCGTTGGATCATTTCGGTCACGACAGTGACCGATTAGCCGAACTTTCGAAGGCAAGAGGACACGCCATCCCCAGATGTCGTAACCAGGCCAGCAGTTCCTGGCACCGCAGCATGTTGCTGATTGATCATCTCCGTCAATGATACAGTGCATCCGCAATGTTGTCGTCGCTATCAGCCACCTTTCCTCACAAATCGTGCAAGAGCCGGACCAAGCTCTTCTTGCGCTTTTCCTTCCTTTGCTTCTTTGGCCTGCTTTCTCTGCTTCTCGCGGAGTTCCATGACCCTCATCTTGTGCTCGTCAATCACGTTCTTGTTGCCCTTCTTACGCATGTATTTTCGCAGACTGCTGTTCTTGCCTCGGCCGCGATTCTTCAGTTGCTCAATTCGTTCTCGCCCTGCTTCGGCTCCGGTCTTGCGATCAAGATCCTTTTCGCGTTGTCGCTGCTCATGGGAGGCGCTATCAAGATTGCCAATTGCGTTCGGATCAAGGCTGATCATTTCCGGCTGGAGTTTGTTCAACAGAGATTTGACTTCAGCCTCCTGTCGCTGCTTGGCATTCTCGTATGGATTCTGCTCCAGTGCATCGAAATTGGGCTCGCCAGCACCAGGCACGATAATGGATGAGAAACCTTGATTGTGACCAATGCCGAGGATATCTTCGAATGGGCACCAGCGGACTCTTTCCACGGCCTGGTTCTGCGCACCCCACGCCATGTATGGCGATTGCACCTTGCTTTGTTCAACATCGTCGTGGTGCTTGGTGAACAAATCCTTCCAGATCGTAGTCTGTGTACCCCAGCCGACTGCCGTCAAATTTCGATCGCTGATGGCTAGACTAGCTCCTGGTGCGCGCAAAAAGTACTCATGTACGGGCTTGTAATTGCGCACATCCCAGACTGCCATCTTCTTGTCCAGTCCAGTGCTGACCGTGTATCTTCCTTCACGATCGACCGCAAGAGAGCTCACAGGACCACGATGGCAAAGCATCTTGACGAGTGGTGCAGTGGAATTAGGCGACCACAACGAAACTGTACCGTCGTGTTGCCCAACGTGGAGAATTGCGTTGTAGGGATTCTGCCCGAAAGCTGTGGGGGATCTCTGCTTGGTGCTCATCTGCATCACGAGCTGCCCGGTGCTTGTGTCCTGCCACTTGAGCCATCCTGATCTTCCAATTGTGGCCAGAAGGTAGTGGTATGGTAGAAACTCCATGTGTGTGACCTCGATGTGCTGGTCCAAGTTGTGTATCTCAACGCCGTGGTGGTCGTAAATGTAGACGTTCTTCTTTTGTGCCACCGCGAGGTACTGGCTATTGTGCAGATATTTCACATCGTGAACGGTCTCTCCCAATTGCAGTTCATAGTTCAACTTCCCACTCCGCCAATCCAGCGAGGCAATATGCCCTTTGCGCCCACCCAACACAAGGTCTTTGCCGTTCCTGGAATAATCGAAGGTGTACGGCCCCAAATCGGTGAGCTTGAGCTCGAAGCCCTTCTTCGCAGTTTCGACGCTGACAGCACTCCGGATGTCGTCTTGTCGCGCTTTGTATGTCCTCTCCAATTCATGCTCGGGCTCGAGAAATCCAGAGTCGTTCTCGAGCAGAATTTCTGCATCTTTCGCCTTGAGCGCAGCATCTCTGTAGCGCTCTTCCAGTGCTTTGAGATTCCCTCGCAGTTTCTTGTCCTTGATGCTTCGTAGCTGCACTGACTTTCCACGACCATATTGCCGGTTTGCCTCTTGCTGGCGCTTCTTCTGCTCGGCCTGCTCTGGCGTGAGCTGCGCTGTTGGACCTCTCTTCTTCTTCGGCACCTCCAATTCTTCCCCTCCGGATCGAGCGACGATCTCCTGCTCAGTGGCCATTGTGCCGGCCTTTATCGTGGTGCGAACATTTCTGTGGCCGCTAGATTTCAAAACCCGAGTCGAGCTTGAACTTTTTAGATCTCGACGGCTCGGCCCGGGTCACGCTCCGATACCGCGCGAAGGCACGTTTTTGTTTCACAGCTCCATAAAATCTCCAGACTCTCGAACCATCACCCACTAGCTCCATTGCCCCGTCGACTGTCATCCGCGTCTCCTTGTGTTTCCGCATCAGCACATCAGACACGTTTCCTTTCATCAGCCATTGGACTTCTGCGACTTCACACCCTCCTTCAATCGCATACAACACCTCCGACCCCCCTTGCCACCATGATCGCCAAGTCCGCCCTTCAGCGAGCTGCGGCAGCTCCAGCTCGCGCCGCCTTCCAGCAACAATCCATCCGTGCCGCATCAGCCTGGTCGCAAGTGCCACAAGGCCCACCAGATGCGATTCTCGGAATCACTGAGGCATTCAAGAAGGACAGCAACAGCAAGAAGATCAACTTGGGTGTCGGTGCATACCGCGATGACAAGGGCAAGCCATATGTCCTCCCATCCGTGAAGACCGCCGAGCAAAAGGTTGTGCAGCAGAACTTGGACAAGGAGTACGCTGGCATCACTGGTGTGCCAGACTTCACCAAGGCCGCTGCTCTTCTCGCCTATGGCCCGGACAGCGCAGCCCTCAAGGAGGGTCGCGTCGTCATTACACAGTCCATCTCTGGTACTGGTGCTCTGCGGATAGGTGGTGAGTTCCTGGCTCGTCACTACCCAGGCGCAAAGGCCATTTACATCCCAACTCCGTCGTGGGCCAACCACAAGGCGGTCTTCTCCGACAGCGGCCTCGAGGTCAAGCAGTACAGATACTACAACAAGGATACCATTGGACTCGACTTCGATGGTATGGTGGCAGACATCAAGGCTATGCCAAAGGGCTCCATCGTCCTGCTCCACGCCTGCGCCCACAACCCAACTGGTGTCGACCCAACTGAGGAGCAGTGGAAGGCCATCAGTGACGCAGTCAAGGAGGGCGAGCACTTCCCATTCTTCGACATGGCCTACCAGGGCTTTGCCTCTGGTGATACCGACAAGGATGCATTCGCGCTCCGCTACTTCATCCAGCAAGGCCACCAGCCATGCTTGGCCCAGTCGTTCGCCAAGAACATGGGTCTCTACGGCGAGCGTGTTGGTGCTTTCTCCATTGTCACCTCCTCTCCAGAGGAGAAGACCCGCGTCGATTCGCAGGTCAAGATCTTGGTCCGCCCACTCTACTCCAACCCACCGGTTCACGGCGCCCGCATTGCCAGCACTATCCTGAACGATCCAGCCCTCAACAAGCAGTGGCTCGGTGAGGTGAAGGAGATGGCAGACCGCATCATCAAGATGCGTGCTCTCCTGAAGGGCAACCTGGAGAAGCTCGGTAGCAAGCACAACTGGGATCACATCACTTCGCAGATCGGCATGTTTGCATACACTGGTCTGAAGCCTGAGCAAATGACGAAGCTCGCCGAGGAGCACTCAGTGTACGCAACCAAGGACGGCCGTATCAGCGTTGCTGGTATTACGTCTGAGAATGTTGGCCGGCTCGCCGAAGCGATCTATAAGATCACTGGTTGAAGCGGGCATCGCGTGCTGGGGAAAACTGTACACTAGCGACTCGCGCAGGAGCCAGCGATAGACGGGTTGATTCCGAGATCCAATACGTGCTTTGACCTCGAGGAGGATGGGGAAGACATAGCTGCATGCAGTGTGCTTTGCCTCTCGGAGGAAAACGATGTATAATAGACTGACGAGTATGATCCACACACTTCCCGAAACGTCCAGGCCGACTACTTCACACATCGTGGGGCTGCTTATGTTCGCGTTTCAAGCACGCCTTGACCGACTGTCATCAATGTGTTGTCATGGCGCGGCGTGGTCGATCCTGGGAGCCATCCGTGCCATCCTCGTGCGCGCGGCCGTTGACAGCATCGTGCAGTGCGATACAGCCTTCTCCCGCAGTTCGGTGCAGCGACAGTGCGCTGGGACGGCGGCAGTCTGCCCTACTCGGTGAAGGCTGAGCCTCTGGACGCTTGAACGTCGCGATCTCCACGTGCTCCCGTTGCACGGAAGGTGCAGAGAGTGCAGTCCCGCTGATCGCTGCAATGTTAGCGCAGTGGCAGACGCCGAACGACACATCCCGGAGCTCCCACAACGGTAAGACAGATGCACATCCCTTATCTCTGCGATGCTTGGCCCTGACCTCGACTCCACCTGCTCGTTGCTCACCGGCGTCGTGCTCCCACTCACAGGCTCGCTATGTCCGGCGGGTGAAGCTGTCGTGCAGCGCGCGGTGGAGCTGCGATGAGGAGAAGTGTGTTCTCGGCCCTGGTCGACTAGCAGCGCCGGTCGATCACAGCAGAGTTTAGACCCTGCTTCCCTGTCGCACTGTGCAGTGACGTCGTTGGGGACAGGCACAGTTTTTTGCGCGAGTGTGACGAGCCTGTTGCGCGTGGAGCATTGTCTATATATCGATATACAGGCGACGCATATCTCGACAAAAGAAATCACCACCATATGCAGCCTTGCGGGAGGTGCGTGGGAGCGAGGCGCCCGCCCGCCATGGCCCTGCGGCGGCAGCGTGACAGAGGTCGCACGAAATGTTAGCTTCAGCATAGGCGGTAGACCAGTTTTCCAACGTGCTCCACCAGAGCATTACTCTGCGCGCTCAACATCCGAATCCCCCCTCCTTCCTGTCCTCCGTGCGCACCTAATCGCGGCCGTGGGTGAGTGGTGCTGTGCAGTGTTAAGCTCGCCGTGAGCCGTTCCCCATTTCTCACCGTGTGCCCAGCGCTCACCCTCCGCACCCCATCACCCTTCACGCCTGCCAGCCAGCCCGCCCGGTGAGAGAGCAACCAACCGACAACGCAGGCACGCACGCGGGCAGGAAGCTAATCGTCCTGTCAAGATCGCGCACAACGTCGCCGCCCCAACAGGCCCAACCTTGCCCGGCCGCTGCACCGGTGCTCTGGCGACATCATCTCCTCCTCCGCCAGCTGACATCATCGTGCTCGGGGCTACTCACACAGCACACACGCGCGCGCAGAAATCAGCCGAGCTTGCACTTGCAGCACGGATTGCGGCAGGCAGCCCACACTGCGACCACCGACCGTCGCCGTCGTCCTCTGCTCCGTCGTTCGGACCCAGGCGCCAAGCATACCCTCACTTGCGCCGACGACAGCGGACCTCGAGCACGAAGTCGACCCGCCCCAATCACCCACTATCCATCCTCCCACCCAAGTTTACCGATACCAGAGATATCCCCCAACCATGCCTGCGGCAGATCAGAAAGTACGCCGCTCTCCTACTTCTCCCACTGCTTTTCTTCGGCAACACCAGCAGCGTATGAGCCTCGACTTTGCCGCCGGGAGGCCGTCAGCGGGAGCCGGAGCGCAAAAACACTGCGAGCTGCAGTGCTGCTGCTCGCCATCCTCCACGACGCGCCGACCGCAGCTCAATCGCAATGCCGTGTCCGAATACTTCACCCCACGTCACTTTCAACTTGCGCGAGCGCACGAGTATAGCTTTGACGCTGATGGTGTGTCTGATGAGCAGCCCGACGAGAATGTCTCGATCGAAAAACTGTTTGGCGATCTGATTGATCCGGCCACATTCGAGCAGGTGAGTGAACAGAGCAAACCTTCTGCGTGCGAAGCGCGATTTCGAGGGACAAGACAACTGACATATGGACCCCAAACCCAGATTCTCGAAATGGACGATGACGAAGACGAGCGCGAGTTCAGCAAATCGATAGTCTACGATTTCTTTGATCAAGCCGCAAATACCTTCAAGCAGATGCACCAGGGTCTGTAAGTATTTTTCACAACGTCCCTCCCCTTTCCGACAAAACTGCGCGGCGACCGGATGAAAAGTAAAGAGGAAGAAGAACCATCTCCCCTCCTCAGAACAACGGCACAACTAACCACCAACTCCCCTCTCCCAACAGCAAAGATAAAGATCTCGAAGTTCTCTCATCCCTAGGCCATTTCCTCAAGGGCTCCTCAGCAACCCTTGGTCTCAACAAAGTCAAAGACTCGTGCGAGAAGATCCAACATTTCGGCGCTCGTAAAGACGAAACAGGCAACAAAGATGTTGCCGATGACAAAGAGAGCCTGAGGAACTGTGAAAAGTACATCACGCAAGCCGAGAAGGATTTCAAGGATGCCGAGCGAGTGCTACGGAAATTCTACCACGAGGAAGTCCCTGAGAGCAGTACGGAGGACTCGTCTGCTGCGGAGAAGTCTTAGAGGGGCTGAAAGTGGGGAGTCAATCAAATAACATGATCACGACATGACATGGGGCGGGCACTGCAAGAGCGACCTTTCTGTGGATAGTAGTCGTCTTTCTTGCTTGTTGGATGGAACAAATGGCCTTGCCCTAGCTTTGGCATGAGGTGTGGGAAGAAGAAGTGAGAGAGACGAGGGAGCCAGGTCCTAAGATGGGTCGGAAACTTTTATGTTTGTGTCCAGCTTCTCTACCTTATCTGCTACTACCTTCTTGAACATTCGCCTAAAACTTACTTCTACGTTCGTCGTTTTTGGAATTCCCTGCCTTTCAATGTGTCTACGCTATAGTCATCCTTTTGAAGACCGCAAAGATCAGACGTCATACATGGTCTCAATACTGTGTTTTGTACACAAAGTCTCATCTTTCATCTAATGCTCAGCTCTTGCTCTTTCGGGCTTCCGCCTGTTGATCCGAGTCATTCTGCCAGTCAATGGACATCGTCGGCTGAAAAAGTAGTGTGCAAGTATCTATCTCATGAAAGCTGCTTCAGAAAAACACAAATGTTCAAAAGACATATATCGTATGCCCGCCATAAAAGTGGTGGTATCTTATCCATAATGCACCACCCTCAACTCCCCGACTCCTCGCCTCCCAAATTGTTCAAGTTTCGCGAACATGCAAATTGTAACCCCCAACTGTCGCTTCATTTGGTGTTGTTACAAACGTGGTCATGCCTATTTTCCTGCCCGCTTTCCTCCCTTCTCATTCTTGCCATCATAAGAAGCTGTCTGTGTCGTATAGGTGGTCGGGACCATTTTTCATGATTGCTTCCTCTTTTCTTTTTTCACTGGCTCTTCGAGTTCTCAATCGACTTCGCAATAAAGGACTGCATCTCCTCTTCGCAATTCCGTTTAGGATTCGTATGGCAGCCGTGGAAATTCGCTATGAAGTCACCTTCTTGGTAGAGACCTATCACATCACCTTTTGTTAGCCATTTACACATTCCCAACAGTTTCGGTGATTGCAGGATTGTGAATAGGAGGATATGCAAACACTCACCCTCTGTCGTACTCTCCTCTGCAGTCTTCGTATAAGAATTCAATTTCCTCTGCGGTATAAGCGCCAGTTTCGCCAAAATTGTTCCATGCCACTGCACAATATGCTCCAAAGCATGTCCTTCTGCTTTTTGAAAATTGTAACTCCGGTATAAGGGGTCGAACCATGCGTCGAGGAAAAATTTGGCCCAGTCGCCTGTTCGGAGGAGGAAACTTCCGCTGGCTAGCCCCTCGCCGTCTTGGGAGAGGATGAGGTTTATGGAGGAGACGGAGATGTGGGAGAGGGTTTTGATGACGCTGTCGGGTGGGACGACGGGTTGGTCTTTGATAAGGAGGGATTTGAGGAGGGGCGGGTCGAGGAGTTGGGTTTGGAGGGATTGCGTCGGGTTCATGATCAGAGCCTCCGAGGAGAGGTACCAGAGCCAGGTGCTGTGTGGGTTGAGGGTCATGGCGTGCCGGAGGGAGGGGATGGAGGACCATGATTGAGGGGTTTTCTCCACCAGATCGTAGTCGGTCGTGTTGGTGAAGAAGTAGGAGTAGCCATGGCGGGCGGCATACGCGCGACGGTTTTCTTTGATCGCTTCGCGAAAGGGTTCGGAGAGTTTGGGGTCGAGATTCGTAACGATCACCACTGGTGGGGTGCCAGGTGGGATATATGTTGATGTCGATGTACCCTTGAATAGGTATGTGAGGAGCCAGATGAGGCTGACGAAGCCCAGCAGCGGAGGAGCATATCGTTTGAGGAGTCGTCGTTGTTGGTAGGCGGAGGTGTGGGTAGGAGTGTAGACGGTGGACGACTTTCGCGGGTACGGGAACTGCTGCATGTTGTGTTCTTGAGTCGGCGGTAGAAAGCCTAGACGGAAGACGGCACTGGGCACTCGGGGGGAAGTGGTTTGTCCGGCGGAGTGCTTCACCAGCTGTCCATATCGGCCTCGACAGTCGTGTAGCGAGCGTGAACGGTGGTTGCGCGGAGGGTGTACAGTGAGTGCGCAACGCACGTATGCAACGGCGGCGGTAGTGGGCTGGCTGGCGCAAGGAGAGTGGTGTCGGAGAGCCGCGAAATCGAGCACGGAGATGCCAATCAAGCAAGCTTCACATGCAGGGCACAGACGCGGCTGGGCAGATCTTCGCTCCCGCCTGCACGTGGTGTCCAAATCTTGAGCTTCTTTCCTCCTCCTCCGTGTGGTCTCCGCTCTCTCAGGCACGCGACTGTGGCATTGCAGTGAGACTCCATCACATTGATGTTGAGACTCGGTGGTACAACCCAGCACACTGCGAGAGCACTTCGCATCGCGACTCTCACCGAAGCAGCCACAAAGCGCGTAGTCGCGTTTGGCGGCCAACACCCGCTACCATGTCGTGAGGCATATCCGAGGCGCTTTGGAAGCGCAAGAACACAATGGCAACAAGCTGCGATTACTGCAGATGCCTCATCTCAGAGCCAATTGTCCGACCGACCAGAACCATCAGCATACGATTTTGCGAAGACCCTGCCCGTTGTCTGTCCAGGATGCGGCGGTATGAGCCAGACGATTGACCCCGATGTTGCCGGATTCTACAGCCCGAAGAAGCGAAATATCAGGAAAGGAAGAGACGCAGACAAGCAAGATGAAGAGAAAATCTTCGAGCAGGCCATGGCGAGATTGTCGTCAGAAGACCAGGCACCTATACTTCCTCCAAAGCCAGACGTAGAAGTTCTGGAGAACGACAAGCCTTTGCTATGCGATCGCTGTCACGACCTGATGTATCAGTCGAAAGGCCAGTCCATCCTTCATCCGTCGATGGAGTCTATACGCGATATCATTGAATCGAGCCCACATCGCGACAATCACATCTACCATGTCATCGACGCCGCAGACTTTCCCATGTCTCTCATCCCGAATTTAATCTCTTCGCTCGACTTACCGCGCCTACGAACGCAGAATCGACGATCAAAGAGCAAGCAGTACATTCGAGGCCGCAAAGCTGATATCTCATTCATCATCACGAGATCGGATCTGCTCGCGCCGAAGAAGGAAGACGTAGATCGTTTGATGCCATACCTGCAGGAAGTGCTCCGTGACGCTCTTGGTAGAGCGGGTAAGAATTTGCGACTAGGGAATGTCAGATGTGTCAGTGCTCAACGAGGCTGGTGGACGCCGCAAGTCAAGGAAGAGATCTGGAAAAGAGGCGGCGCAGGCTGGGTGGTAGGGAAAGTCAATGTGGGCAAGAGCGCGTTGTTTGAGGTTGCATATCCCAAGGGCAGAAACTTGAAGCCAGGTACACAGGCACAGCTGGCAAAAGTCAAGCAGCGTGGTGTGTTGGTCGCGCCTACTGTGCCAGATGAGCCATTGCCGGAACAGGGAGAAAGCAGTGCAGCGGGCATTGGTGATAGTATGCTTGATGCCGCAGAGTCGAGACTGGACGAAGGTGCTGAGACACGAAATGAAACGAGGGAGCCGGAGAACACATCCACAAGTACGAGCCTCGAAGCCGACGCTGAGGTGGAAGAGACAGTCGGTACAGTGATCGAGGAGCAGGGTTCAACACGACTCGGGGTTGAAGAAGAGGGTGAAATGGATGACTCTCAGCAATTGAGAGTCGAGGAAGATGGCATTGAAGAAGATGACGATGATGCAGACATCTCCCTGCTGCCACCTGCGCAAAAGGAGACAGCATACCCTCATATGCCGATTGTTTCCTCCCTCCCAGGCACCACAGCTTCGCCAATCCGGATTCCGTATGGCAACGGCAAAGGCGAGCTGATCGATCTTCCGGGAATTCAACGCAGCTCGCTCGAGACGCACATCCAGCCGGAGCACCGAGCTTCTTTGGTCATGAAGAGCCGAGTTGTACCTGAACAGATCACCCTCCGTGCCGGCCGCTCTCTTCTCCTCGGCGGCATCATCCGCATCACGCCCAAGACTGACGACTTGATTTTCCTCGTGTACCCTTTTACACCTCTGACCCCTCACGCCGCGCGGAACGACAAAGCCATCGCCATCCAAACCGGCGTCAATGAAGACGGAACTCCATATTCAGGCACAGTGGAGAACATCGGCACAGAAAGTGCCAAGAAACGCATCAAAACCGCCGGGACCTTCAAAATCCAATGGAACGCCACGAACAAACGCACAGGCTCCCTAACAGACCGCACAGCCGGCAAACGCAAAGTCGACGAATTGCCTTTCAAGGTCTACAGCGCAGACATTCTGATTGAAAGTGTTGGATGGGTCGAAATCGCCGTTCAAGTCCGTAGTCGGAAGAAGAAGCCTACTCCTGATGCGTTCGATCAATTGGGCATCGAAGGGGAAGATGAGTATATGCAACAGAGGGCGGAACAGCGAGGATATTCGCAGCAGAAGTCTGATCAGGTGGAGGAGGACGACTTTCCTGAAGTTGAGGTCTTCAGTCCAAAGGGGAAGTTCATCGGGGTCAGAAGACCAATGAATGCGTGGATTACGGGTGGGCCGAAGAAAGTGGCGAAGCATGCAGTGAAGAAGAGGCCCAGGATGAGTATTTCTTATCAGAAGCGGATGGAGGGTGGGAGAAGGGGAGGGCAGCAGAGGGCTGAGTAGTGAGCAGAATTCGAATTCATACTCTCCACTTTGGTCGCATTCATCGGGGATAGTCCATCTGTTCAAGTTCATATTACTTTCGCAATTGCTTCGTTGCCATTTCATTACGTCTTTACTAGGACTGGTTCCCATGCGCGTATTACTTCGTCGCTTTCATATGCCTGGTCCTGTTTGTTCGCCCTCGCAGTAGCATCGCTACCCATCACAAGCAAACCCAATCGGCTTCACCACGTTACTACACCTATGTCCGGTCACCAATTCCCCATCGTCTGCTGCCCTCATCTCCAAACCTTTCACCTCGATCCTGGGACAAGGCGCCTTTGCCGAACATTGAAAGTCGGTCACCGCATCCTTCCGCCTCTGCGTGCCCCGAATATCCTTCCAATGCAAGTCACTAATCTGAAACGTACTCGTATCACAATCTCCCGTTCCGCCTTCGAAGTTCACGCACTGCGTGATATCCAAAGCAATCTCCGCTTCATGCAACGTGAAATTCTCGAACGTGATGTTGCGAATGTAGCCAATTCCTGCTCCGCCACCGTTCGGTGGAACACCTTTCTGCACACCGGTCCAAGTCTTGATGTATCCTCCTTGACGCACAGGCCCGAACATTTCGATATTTCGCGCGGTGAAATTCTCGATGAATTCGTATTTTCCTGGATATTGGCCTATAGAACCTAGTGCGATTCCGCTGCCGTGGTGGAAGATACAATTCTCGACGAGTATGTTGGAACTGTTGGCTTTGGAGGAGATGTTGTCGTCTCCGCAGTCCACGGTCCAGTTGGCGAAGGTTATGTTGTTGGAGTAGATTGTATCTGCGCCGTCGGTGTTCAGAGGGCCGAACTTATCGCGGTGTTGGGAGTCGGTGGAGTTGATGTAGATGTTTCGGAGGAGGACGTTGTTGCTGTGGATGAGGGTCATGGTCCACATTTGGCTCTGGATGAAGTTGAGATCCTCGATGACGGAGTTGCGAAGGGAGCCGAAGGTGATTTGGTGGGGACGACGAGGGTAGTTGCTTGCCCCGTTCGTGAAGTCGTACCAGACTTGGCCGTTGCCGTTGAAGGTGCCGGCTTGGGTGCTGCTGTGGAGGTAGATGTTTTCGCCACCAAAGTACCATGCTGTGGACTGGTTTTGATAGCCCATGGGAAGGGAGTTGGCCAGCCAGTATTGAATGTCGGTACCCCAGAGTAAGGTTCCGCGGACGTCGACTTCAACGTTGGACAGGTTTGTGGTCGTCAGTACGGACTCAATGTGGTAGGTTGTGTTATCGAATACGATTTTGCCATTTTGACCGCATTTCTTGAAGGCAGTGACGATGTTTGGTGCCGAGTCGCCACCGCTTGGTGCAGGCTTGACATGGCAAGTATTGGTGCGAGTGTCTGGACCCGGCAGTATGTAAGGTGCGCCTGGATAGTAATCCGGAGTAATGAACTTCATCCATGAGGACTGAGATGGCAGGGCTAGCACTGCTTGTAGCCAAGGCAAGACTGCCATGATCGTGGAAATTCTGCGCATTTTCATGAGTACAGTCGTCGCACTAGGTAAGTGATAACTCGATGTATGTAGGGGAAAGGAAGATTTAGGACGTGTAGGCAGAGCGGGTGTATTGGCTGGCCCTCAGGTGCCTAGAGGTGAATGGGAAGCATTTCCCATGTGAAGACCGCTCGCACACTACCCGCATGCACTTTCATGCAGTAGCTCGAGCCACTCGACAGTGAAGAGGAATCTGGGTGCAGAGGGGAAGGACGATCCGCGCGGAGCCGTTTGAGCCAATTTGCGAATGAAGGTCATGCCTTCCTTGTGCAGATGTATGAGATCGTCGCGACTGATATTATCCACGAGCGCCAGAGCTGAAATGGTTTCACCTACCGCTACACGACGGAGATGGACAGAGCTTGCTCGTAGGCTGTTGGAGGAGGGGGTCATGCAAGAGGAGGACGCGGGGACGACTGCAGCGAGGTCACGACGATCAAAACCGCAGGTGACAAGCGGGTGCGAGGCAACGGTAGCATAAAGATGGCACTGACGTCGAACAGGATGCTGCAATGATGGGTGCACGACTTTGTACAGAGTGTTGTAGCTGACGGGCTGCGTCCAAGGAAGGATCGAGGCTCGTGCCAAGAACTGTCCCTCGGCGTTTCCTTCTGACTTCACTGCAACTCATTTGTTGACTTACTGTATCAAAAATCCATCACTCCCATCTTGACGCATCGATCGATCATCTTTGATCTTGAACAATTGACGTTTTTTTATGAACTCGTACCTGCTGTCATCCCCAATCGAGATTCCTTCGCCTCCTACTCGACTGCAGCATATAGGTCACCTGCTTCATATGGGCTAGGAGCATCGTACTTTTGGCCGAGGGAAAATTCCAGATGCTCCTTTAGCACTTTCTTGTAATCGTGCAGCTGGTAAGACTCACCGAGGTACAGTTCGAGCAGCATGTTCGTCTTCTTGAAGTGCAAAGAGCATGACGCAACTTGAGTTTGCGGCTCTACAGGCATACTCTCATCAATGTTCTTCGGCCCCGGCTTGAACACCAGAACTTCTTCTGCACATCACTCTCGGTGATATGCTGTCTCTATCCCAAGGGCCCTTTCCTTTTGACCACATCTCGAAGGCACTGAGGCTCCATACATTCCACTATGAGCCGCCTGAGAGCCGCAATGCAAGCTGCGAGTTCTTGGCCATCTGAGACACCCTTGCTAAAGTCTACAGTATATGGCCGGGATTTACCCCATCAGGACCGTCATCGCTTCCTTGCCAAACCTACGACCTTTTCCGTAACCACGATACACTCTCATGGGAGTCATGCGAGGGCTTGTGGCCGCATATGTCATACAATGAATGCCAAGGCAATGATGTCGAGACTCATGGAACGATACCTCCGTCTTAGATCCTCTTCCGCCCTACGATATTCGGCTATTGCATGCAAGTACATGTACGCTCGAAAGGATGATGACACAGACGTGGTATGATCCAGAAGCGGCGACCAATGTACCCTCGCTCGAATGGAAGATGACTAGAAGCGTGGTGTGATCCAGATGTAGCGCGTTACTTATAACGTCCAGAGAACCCACATTTTGTGACCATCCAGCTATACAGGCGGGATTGATCGATTCGGGCCATCGAGCGGCATTCGAAATGTCCACATCTAGCACTTTGGAGAAGTCAACTTTGACAACAACACAACACGATCATCTTCAAAGCCTCCCTATCACAGCTTTACCGCCCCTTCCACATTTAGCCCTTACTCAACAGCGCAAATTCGCGAACCCAGCACCCCTCGGTCTCGGAGCCTTCGCACTGACAACATTCGTCCTCTCATGCATCAACCTCAAAGTCCTCGACATCACAGCACCTAACCTCGTCATCGCTCTCGCGTATGCTTACGGAGGGCTAGTGCAACTCCTCGCCGGAATGTGGGAAATAGCATGCGGGAATACATTTGGTGCGAGTAAGTGATTTCAGCCTCTCGTAAACAACAGCAGTGAGCAAACTCAGTGCAACAACTACTAACCTCCTTTGCTATCCAGCTGCCCTCTCCTCCTACGGCGGCTTCTGGATCTCCTTCGGAATCGTCCTAACACCATCCTTCGGCATCGTCGATTCCTATCAAGACCAAAGCACAGGACTCAACACTTTCCACGATGCATTCGCGCTGTATCTCTGGGGCTGGTTCGTTTTCACCACGTTGTGCTTACTCGTCACGACACGATCAACACTTGCGTTCTTCTTCTTGTTCTTCGTTTTGGATCTGGCATTCTTGTGTCTGGCATTGGGACAGCAGTATGCAGCGAGTTCTGCTGCAGAAGGTTTGCATAAGGCAGGTGGTGCATTTGGTATTTTGGCGGCTTTTGCGGCATGGTGGAATATGTTTGCGGGTATGGCGGATCGGGAGAATTTTTGGTTTGAGGTGCCGGTTGGAAGGCTGCCTTGGAATGTAGAGAAGCGAGGACGGAAGTGTGATGCCGGGGATGGGAAGGTATGAGGATTACATGTAGAAGATTTGTTAATTATTGCTGTGTCACGCCTACTGCGGTGACTCTATGTGGTAGCGTATGCTGTAAACAGAGCATCGTGTACCATTTGTATGCAAGCTTTTTTTCCGCGTCTTCTTGTGCGCTGCGCTGAAGCCGCATGTCTGGACCAGGTAGCACTCAACGATTTCGGGTTTCGTCATGACCTCATGATGCTGCTTCAAGTTCTCGTTTTGTCGCCTCTGCGATGAATTCCTGGAGATCTGGCATGGGTTGATTTGACTCTCTCGCTGTCAAAGGTTAGCCCAAAGCGGCAGCGTAGCAATATGCGAAAACTCACCTAGTCGCGCCGCAGTGCGATATTGCTCGATATACTGCCGACGCAATTTCTTCTCCCGAAACTCCCTCTGACGCGTTTCCTCCTTCTCACGCTTCTCTATCAGCATCGGGTCGTCATCTTTGAGCACGACCGTACCACGGAAGGAGACCTCGTTCTTCACTTCCCCCGTCTCGTCGTCCAGCATGAACACTTCGGCATTTGCGCAGAACTTATGGGCCTCGAGCATCTCTATTGTCTTGTCCAGAAGGTCGCCTATCGTCAGTCCATTCTCATTCGCCACTGTCGCGGAGTGTCGGTCGTGGTCGTCCGAGTGATGCGTGAAATTATAGCGACAGCATTCGAGGTAGACTTTGAGCTCCTTCACTGGAGGCTGGCAAACGTACATTCTCCGCACTCTTGCCCCAATCTTTTTCGGCATACGAAAGTAGTCGTTCGTGCTTGCGAATTCGGCCTTGAACAGTATTTCGTTGCCAGGAAGGGTCTCTTCGTAGCTAGAGAGTGCTCGATGCGTGCTGAAGAAGGCTCGCGTGCCAAAACCTGGCAAGACTTCGCTGTATCCGCAAATGCGCCCCTGAAAGACGTTTTGGAAGTGGCCATCGAGGGTGTCTGCGCGCAGGGACAGCTGCCGCTGCAGATTGACTGACGACTCAATGGCATCACGCCATTGGTGGTTGACGCGGTAGCACTTCAGGAGCTCGAGCACAGGCAATTTGCTGAGGATCAATTCGAGTAGCTCTGGGACATCGAATACACGCTGAGCTAGGCCGCGAGCTCGGTCGGGGCAGCGCTCAGTATACAGCGACGGGCGACCTGTATTCCGAAGGTGGCTGTCCAGACCTGCCGCGCCAGCTCGAGCACTCACTAATGCCGCTCGGAGAGCTTCGCTGCTGACGCTGTCTCCTGAGTTTGCCAGCAATTCGATTTGATTGAGTGCAGCATCGAGACTGGAATGATGCTCGACGGCCGCACGAAATTCATCGTCTCTCTGCTTGAATTTGCGTCGCCACTCTGTCATACTCTCTGGTGAAGGCATTGCTTCATGCGCGCTGGTACCGATTCTTATGGCACCAACAGGGGCTTTCGTTTGTATTGAGCGTCAACAGCTGTCAAGGCGTGACAATTTCGTGTTCTTGATGAAGAAGAGAAGGAAAACGTTGGCTTCTGTCCGCGGAAGGTGAAGTGTTTGGCTGAGTCAGAAGAGGATTACTTGTTTGGAGGCGAGACAAGTGACGACAAGAAGACTCAAATGTCTTGTGAATGTCCAATTTCCAAGCGCTGTTGTCTCGTGCTGCCGCACCTTCACCTTCGCCCGACAGCAAAGTGAAGTCGAAAGAGGCTGGACCGGCAGGTACGAACAAGTGGGTCGACTTTGTCATCACTGCCAAGAAGGAGCTGGAAACAGCTTGAGCCTTGACCGCCATTGACCACATCATTCCATTCGCAAGAACAGCTATAGACGACTGCTGCAGATGAAGACAAGGCTATTGCAAAGATGTCCGCACTTCATGACGGTGGCTGCATATCATTTCGACATGCGTCACACTACCCATGCTTGAGTTCACGCGAAGCTCACGCGGAGATTGCTACGCCACAGACGCGTTGCTTCGCGTCTCCAGGGTGGGGAGGGGGTTTGTGATGGATCTGTTTCTGGACACTGAATTCTCTGCGCAAACCTGTTGCCACTCAGCTTGTCCGCCTGGTGTGTTGACGCTCGTGCTAACACTCAGGTGCTAGCACGAACAAGTGCAGCTGTGCCCAAATGGAAGAGCCGGCCATTGCAGAAGAAGCTATCCGTCTGCCGGAGGAGAGGCCGGAAGAAGCTGACCCAAAGGAAGTCGAAGTACCCCAGCAGGACAAGTTCGGCGATGTTGAGAACTCGGATTCTGAAGTGGGCTGCACGAGCAATAGTTGGAAGTTGAAACAGAATCTGCTGAGCGCCCTGCAGAAGATCCAGCCATCAGGCAGCTTCGCCCATTCTGCTGGTCTCGCAAATCAATTCATTGATCCCATAATATGGATACCAGATAATCAACCGCCCATAACACTTCCAGTGCACGAAGTTGAAGCGAAAAGGCTCATTGCATGCAGTCATCAGGCTCCATTTGGCAAAGGATCTGAGACCATTATTGACCAAAATGTCAGGAGGACATGGGAACTGAACCACGATCAGTTTCGCGTATGCAATCCAGCCTTCAACGACACAGTAATGTCTCCCGTCCTTGTCAACGTGGCCGATGAACTGGGCGTGCCCAAAGGAACGACAATTAGCGCTCAGCTGTACAAACTGCTCATCTACGAACGAGGTGCGATGTTTCGAGCTCATACAGAGTAAGTGAAGCCGAACACCACTTGAGGCAAAATTTGACGAGAGAAAAGTACAGAAAAGGTTCCGGGCATGTTCGGCACGCTCGTAATCTGCCTGCCTTCAGCACATGAAGGTGGTGACCTTGTTCTGACACACCGAGGATCGACGAAACGCTTCTCCACTTCAAGAGAACAGCCCTGTTATGCTTGCTGGTACTCCGACGTGCAGCACGAAGTCCAAGAAGTAACATCGGGTTACCGCATTGTTCTGACCTACAATCTGGTTCAAACCGAAAACCCAGTACGAAATTTATCTGCCTTGGGTATGGAACGGGACTACTCGGAATTGAAGCGCCCTCTCAAAAGTTGGTCAGCCTCAGAAACCGGAGCAGTCGTGCACATACTTGAGCACAAGTATACGGACGTTAGCTTGCGACTATCCGCGATGAAAGGGGCTGACCACAGCAGAGTCATGGCACTTCAACGATTTGCTGGAAAGTACAATTACAACATCTTCCTCGGGTCCATGGAGCACGAAATGAGCGGGTCTGCGGAGGACGACTACGATCGGTACGACTTCCATGGAAGACGGTACGGGCGTGGAGGGTGGCACGAGGATTGTGATTCATCCGACGATGGTTACCACGCCATAGACGAGGTCATTGACGAGAGGACGACCCTGAATCGCGTGGTACTGCCTGATGAAGCAGGCACAGAGATCCTGACGGATGTCGACTTTGATCACGATGAACTACTCTGGGATGAAGCGTTTACCGGCGTACGTGAGCCGGACGAGCACGACTACGAAGGCTATACCGGCAACGCAGGCGCTCAAGCGACGCATTGGTACCGCGATACTGTAAGTGTGCAGGAGTCATTGGTCGATTCTCACCAGCAAATGATGTTAGCATCTCAGACGGCTCTTTGCCGTGCAGCTGTGCCCAGGGCGATGTTAATGAGCAGACGTTCTCACGTTCTGTGTCTCTGCCAAGAAAGCGATGCCTGTTGGCATGGCTCCTCAACGATCTTGTGCTAATTACGATTAGGTCGTGATCCTTGTGCCGGGCAAACGCACAGTGCAGTGGTGTCTGAAATCCTACTCCAAAGGTAGCAGTGGTCGTGGCGACATTCTCCCGCTACGGACGTGGTTGAAAACTAGGTGCAACCAACAAAGCTCAAACGAGGACATAGAGCAAGCGAAGAGCGATCTATGCGAGGCCTGCATCTACGTGACGCAGCAGAATACTGAGACAATATTCGGAAGACCTGCTTTCCCGGCAGATATCTACAACGAGGCTGTCAAGATCCTCTTGCAACTAGGGAATTACGATGGTCTTGTTGCGGCAGTTGCAAGTTCAGCGGATCAAAAGTCATCTGCAGCTTTCGCAACTCTTGCACCTCTGATCAGTGATCGCTTTGAGAGACTGGCTCCAGCGTAAGAAGCATATTGAAGCATGTGTTAGGTTCGCGCAGCTGACAACTTGAAGCCTCACAAAAGCATTCGGCCGATTCAATTCCATCAAATTCATGTTCGAGGCACTCAAGGCACTCTTCAATGACCAGCTTGGCGGACAAACCGGCCCCACGGCGGACTGGATCAAAGGCACAGTAAAGCGAGCAATAGGCGGAGTCGTCGAGCCAGAAGAACAGGACGGTACGACTCTGGCAGAGATTACCATATCTTTCAGAGGGTTGCATGAGCAAGTATCTAGTCTGGCTGTGATTCGGCTGCGTACTAATTCTTGATAGCATGTCTGAAGTGATCAAGCGACGCACTGGTAATACAAACTTCATGCTAGCTTTTCTGGCAGAGTTGATCAGAAAGGCCCACGGCGCTCTTCCACCGGCGGAAGTACTTGTCATTGTCAAGCATTTCATGGGCGATGTCCTCGACGGCTTCCTTCCAACACTCCTGTCGACAGGAGGCCAGAAGGAAATGAAAGGATACAACTACCTTGTCACTACTGTTGCACAAGCAAGCCGGAATACTGCTCCGAACATAGCAGAGCTGTGGCGCTATCTCTTCCAGAACGACATGCGCGCTGAAATCGAGTCTTTCTTTACCGCAATGGACCGCGCGATCATGGCCAGCTGCACAACATTACTAGTGGGCGTGTTCATGCCGTTTCTGAAGCTCTTACAACCGCTTGCCAAGGCCAACCTCAACAACGACTATGCACCCATGTTTCGAAAACTCTATTGCAGTATCTTTGGAGCTTGCATTGAAAATTACGTCCAGAAACAGCCCCCATCAACGCAGAGCTGGGCACGAGATCGTCTCAAGCGCAGCTGTGCCACCTGTTTCCAAGTAAACCTCTATCTCACCAGCGTTACACAACAAGTCGGCCGCTTTTCTTTGGGAAAACCAAAGGCACAACATGTACAACAACAGCTTGTCTCAGCCCGCAACATCGACTGCACGCATGCCACAAAGCCTTATACAAGGCCTCTGATGCTGGTCATAACCAAAAGGGATCGTGCCCAAGCCGCCTATGATACCTGGTATGCCCGATGCGATTCCCTTGCCAAAATGATGGGAAGTTTTGAGCTAGATGTGCTCTGGGATGTGCTGGGTCGAGACTACGTGGAGCTGATCGGGATGCGATCAGTGATTCACTCCGCAGAAGCGAGACTTCCCCTCGACGTGAAGAGGCCGCCATCAAAGATATTGTTACCAAGGCCTAATCCACCGCGGATGGCTACGGTACCCGCTGCGGCTTCTGGTCCTCCTCATGCCGGCACGAAGAGGAAGATCGAAATCGTTGATCTTCTTGACAGTGATTGATGCCGCTACTGGAGAACGAGCGCTACTGTATAACTAATGAATCATCGAAGTTAGGCGAGATGTATTCGCGAGTCCTTCTTCCTCGGAGTCTGCTCCATACAGACCATCATGCGCGCCAACCCCAGACCATCACAATTCGATAGCGTCGAATCGAGAACGCACGAGACCGATTAAGATGACCACCGCTTCGAGACGAGCGAAGCCATGGCTGGTGACCAGATGACAAAAGTTTGACGCGTTGAGCTGCTCTGTACCGCAGAGGAAAGAGTCATCTGCATTATAGGACATCCAGAATGATATCTCGGCTCAACCGGTCACCCAACGAACTCCACAAAGCAGGCAAAATGACCCAACTCCGTTAGTACCACAACCACATGTCTTGCCTACTCGTCCGTTCTTCGGACGAACACAATGCTGCCGCGCCTACAAGACGTACATGTCTCGCCAAGCCACGATCCTGACGAAGACCAGATTAGTGATGCACACTAGACCTTAACTTCACACATTCCAGAGATCAGCCATATTGCTCTTGCATGTGTCTGCCTACCTGCCTGCCTAACTGTCACTGCAACTGCGTGGAGTACTTCACATTCCCCACGCAAAAATGTCCCAAAAGCCCTACTATGCACCATATGCTGTGCAAACTGCTCCTTCATGCACCTCCCCCAATTTCGCAAAACAACCACATACGCGAGCACAGTATCCGTGGTACCATCTCCGATCTCTCATCAGCCCCGATCACACATTCCACACCACGATCCTCGAGGGAATGTGGAGTGGAGCTGAGCTGCGATGCAGAGACCAGGGTTGTTCCCTTACCCCAGCCGCGCCAGCGCCAGCTACCTATGTACTAGCTTAGCTCAGAAAGGAACATGCTTGCGAAAACTGCTCGCTGACGTGCTTTTGCTTGACCACAGCAGCCCAACTGCTACTGTCGCAGGAAGGTTTTATCAACAACCAGTACCATAGAATGACAAGCATGCAAGTAGAAGCGTACTTTAATGCAAATGATGCCAAGCGACATGCTCAGAAACGTGGCTCAATGATGAGGTTTTCTTTCAATTGCTGTTGTACATCTACATTGACTGGATGCTTCATCCATCTCTCTGTCTAGCTATCTGTATCCGACTCGCTTCGGTCTGACATCGTACAACCATATCAGTACATACAGAAGCTAATGCCAAGAAAAGACGAGCGCCAGATGATGATGCGCGTAGAGGAACAAAGCCAGCCTGCGTGATGCAAACGAGCCACGAGCTGCGAGCAGAAACGCTCCGCTATAGATAACATTCCGTATTCCGAAAATGTAGAACCAAAGGGAATCCGTTTGCCGAACCAAGGGAATAGCGGACTCGTTGATGGCGAAGACCGCTGTGTGTTGTGGAATATTCTTTTTCTGGCTAACCTCCTGGGTTACCGTCGACGTCGTCGTCTTCCAGACCTCCTTCCATTCTGTGGTCTCGAGGGGTATTTTTCCTTACGCCGCCGATACAAAATAAAAACGCCTTTGCCTTGTGCCCAATGTGCGAGGACCATGATGAAGAGACCTCGCTATGCTATTGTCGTGTACCAGAAAAGGCCGAGAGTGTCGCGTATTCGTGGTTGTACTGCACGCGCGCACATTACGAAGAGGTTCGTTGGTGATGAAGGTTGAACTTCATCCAGGTTCATCATCGTGAAGCTTGCCTCAGGCTGCCAGTTTCCGAGGTTCGCTGACGTTGAACTTCGGCCTTGACCATTTTCTCTGCGACATCTGAAGGCGTTGCCGCAGAGGTGTTCATGCTCCGGGCGCCAGCGATGAGGTAGCCTTCTTCACCCTCGAGCTCCAGTGGCGTTACAGGTCCAGGACTTCCTAGAGGTTGCAATCGTGGACTGACTGGTTTGCCACCAACGGCTGTGGAGAAGAGTTCCCGATGATTGAAGTACAGTTGTTTCTGTGCATCGTTGTACAGTCGCTGGTATTGCCTCGGAGACATTGGCGGTTGTGGTGAGGAGGCATGGGAATTGACATCTGGCGTGGAATTGAGACTGCTCTGCGCAGATGGGAAATTCGCGGGATGGAATCTCGGAAGTGACGGCAACCGCAGCGAGTTGCTCGGAGCTCGTCGCTGTTGCTGTTGGGTGTGGTGATGGTGCTGACCGCTGCTCGTTCGTGAATGCATTGGTCGTTGTGGTGGTGATTGGAAACCGTCGAAGTGACCTGAGTTCTTATAGCCAGGCGACAGAGGTGAAGTTGGTCTCATGGCGGGCGAGGTGCGTGGCGAAGGCATCCCTCTCGGAGCAGCCAAACCGGAATAGAAGCCGGGGGTGGGTGAACGTCCTCGGGCAGGAGCGGTCGTGGTTGTCGTCGTGGTGTTGGGCCGCGAGCGTGCTGATGATGTGGCAGTAGCAGAGAGCGAATGCAGCTTGGTGGCGGCGTTGGAAGACATGCGATCACGAGCAAGCTCCCCAAAGTGCGTCTGGTCGTTACACCTCGCAGCACCACTAGCGGAAGTGATGCACGCCTGCGTCTTGGAAATGGATGCAAGCCAAGCGGTGGGTCGTGAATGGAGACTAATAACCGACAAACGAGCTGCGCGTCTATGCTGGCTGGTGGCTCGCTGTACTTTGTGCTGCCGCCGGGTCGCGCGCTGGAGCACGCCCACGCTTTTCTTGAATTAAAATCGCGATGCACAGGCGGTTGACGTCGTTGTCACGAGACGGTCTCCTGGCTTGTTTGTCTCCTTGTCGTGACAATGCCGCGTGGGCTGGTCTTTGTTTGTGATTTGCGATATGTCGATGTTTGTGCTAGTGAGGCACAGCTAGCAGCGACGATTCGGCTTCTTCTACCGTCGGCCAGGTGGGCGTCTGATCGTTACTCTTTATCGACAAGAGGAAATTGAGTGCCTGTGTGGACCCTGGGCGCTGTGTGCGTATGAGAAGGGCGATTGCACGGTTTATGTGGAGCCAGTGCCTGAGCTTTCTGTTGCACACCGTTGTCGGGTCGCGGAGATCAGTAGTGACAAGAGTACTTGCTGCTGCCTCTTGCTGTGCTAATTCGAGGTGCCACTGCCGCCTTCCCGTTGTGGGTTCTTTGTTCGAAGGAAGGGCAGTTGTGGAATCGGCGGCTCTCCTGCACTTTTCTACCACGCCTGCGCGCACTACTCGCGAGCATGTTCTCGAACAATGAAGACGGCATTGATTACAAGCCACTTACTCCGATCAGGCTAGGCACGGAGGTGACGGCCCATGACGGTGTTGCAATTATCAGATGACGGCCTCTTCACGCAAAGCTCGGCAACTAATAGAAAAGAAGGGTACCCCGCAGAGCCAGCAAAGGCAAAGGCAAAATCCATCTACGCGTGCTGTAATAATTCAGCACTTCCCAGACCGAGAGTGGACGATGCGCGGCCGCGGTCAGCGAATCACCCTTGCCAATTATCTCATCATCTGCAATATCCACCTTTTCTGCTCCAAGAGAGCGGTTCGCTGCTGGGTCACCAGACCGCAGCTTCATCAGCAGGAATCGAAGGGTGCCGAAGCGGGAGAAGCGCACACTACCAAAACTACTACTGCAATGGTAGCCTATGATGGACTCAGCTCCGTGGCCTTCGGAACACTCGGGTCGTTTCTTGCTTCCGTACAGAAACGGCGTCTCTACTTGTCACAATGCCATCAAGTGCGAACGCTCGCCCTCGAAGCGCCGCGGTTGTAACAACAACGTCGCGCATCTCGGAGCAGTATCCGCCTATCAAAATACGTAGTAGAGGTGAGGAGAAGGACCAGTCCTGGTGATTTCAGCAAGGATTGCCGACTACGCATGAGGATCTCATCCCTATAACGACCGCGCAGTTGACCCTTGTGATCGATAGCCCAATGATACGCATACACTTGTTTCTCTTTCCAGATCGCTACTCGGGAAGCCGCGGTTGTGCCTCTCTCTCATTCACACGTGTATCAGCAACGCGAGAGGACCATCACCGTTCCCACGTTCGCTCTCTCGCCTCTGGAGATACGAAGAGGTCAGGAAAGGATTTCCCGCCATGCGTCACGACACATGGCGCCGTCGAAACTCAAAAACGGCAGATAGCCACACCCGCTGGCCGATGATCGCATCCTTGTCCGATGCGCGAGCTTGAGCCTCCTCTTTGTTGCCTGCCCTGCCCGTTTCATCTTGGTCCGATTTTCAGCCGCACGGCGTCAACCAGTGCGCTTTTCTGACATCGATGACTGTCGTGGACGGCCTTCATTGATGGATTCGTCAGACAAGGTGGTGCTCGCTTCCTGTCCGTCTACGTCGTCCTGCCACGCCAGACCAGGGCCGAGCGGTGTATCCATGGTGGAGAGTATGCACGAAGACCGCAAAGATGAGTTGTCGCACTTGGGACGTGGGGGCTAAAGCGCATATGACAATGGACATTTGAAGAACTTGACGTTGCTCGGCGTGGAGGTAGACGAACGCGCATTGTCAGCAGGACGTCCTGCCATCGCGATTCTGAGATTGAAGGAACGTTAGAGACATTTCGGCTTCACGAGCCTCATATGTGGCATGAACGTGTGCGTCACCCTAAGCGCCCTGCATGAGTTGCTGACGATGATGCTTTCGTCAAGCCGTGGTTGTTCTGCAATGAGGAGTCGGTGGCTTCTGCAGGGAGGTGCCACAGCATTGGTTCTGCGAATGTCTTGGACGTGACGGAGAGATGATGGTATTGAATTTTGAGAGTAGACGCCTAAGCCGCAGCTTCGGTAGGCCTAGAACATTCAGTCGACTTGTAGTGATGAGAAATGACAGAGAGATAGAATGTTGATCTTTTGAGCGGTGAGCGTGTACCGAAGTACAGCACTGTGTAGCAGCTGGCAAGTATGAGCCAGATCGTGACCACGAGATCGAAGCGGGAGAAGAAAGCGACCAGACATAGCAACTTCATTCCCATCAGAATATTCGTGAACACAAGCAAAGATAGCCCACCGCTCGAAACATCGTCATAGATGGCAGCCAACGACTCGTCTCACTCCTCGACCGCAAGCACGCAAATCCTCCCGCCAGCCACCGTCTCATCTCCTGACCAGCCAAAGAGTAATGTGACCCGAGTGAACAGAATGCGATGATGAAGATACTCGATCTCCTCAGCTTTCATTCTCAGTAGATCTTCTGGCCCTCTCCCTAAAAGATCTCTCCATGCCTCGTCGCTGAAAAGCAATTTCCCGCAGGCTACAGCGCCTGTCTCGTCAATGACTTGCCCGACAATCCTCGGATTGAGGCGTAGAGTGACTTGTTTGTCGCAGCCTTTGCATTTCGCTGTCAGAGCATTTGCGTAGATCGGGATGCTGCAGCATTCGCCAGATAGGAGCATCTGGCGTTTCCAATAGTCTAGTAGTTTGAACTCTGTGATGAGGAGACTAAGGTATCCTTGGAAGATGGTTGATTCAATTGGCTGAGAGCATCGTGCGAGTTCATCCAGGTCGCCGATCGTGTATAAGCAGCGCAGCGAGCTTCCGCGGACATCGTCGGCTGAGAAGATATCTTGTGGGAAAGGCGGATTGATAGCTTCGCGGGTGCGAAGCCGGAGGGCCCATTTGCGTAGCCAAGCTGCGTCTGGAATGGCTGGATCAACGTCGATGATTGTGGCGGAGGTGAGGCTTAGATAGATCTTGAGGATGTCAACCATTGCAGCAAGATGAAAAGAGGCCAGCTTCTGACTTACGTTGCGTCCAATTTTCCAACCTGGTGCTTGGAGGAGCAACACCGTCTCTCCTGGCTTCCAGCATTCTCTCGCGGTATTGTTTGACGCATCGCTGTGCTCCAGAGCTTGGGTTGCGAGAGGAGAGGATGCCGAAGTTCCCCATAAGCCTAGCGTAGCTTCACCAGTATCATCGTGGACTTGTAGGTTCAAGTTCTCCGTGACGCTTTCGTCCTTGCGGGTCACTATTGTCGCGTCAGATACTATCAGGTGGCTGAAATCGGTGAGCGGTAAGGGAGCGATACCTTTCTTCTTCGCGCCAATGCTCTTCACGACCACGAGCAACTTTGCATCGACCACATCGTAGCCTCCGTTCATGAATGTCTCTAGAGTCATGAGGCGATTGATGGGTACGTTGTCTTTGTATTCACGCGGCGTACGATACATCTTGCCGTCGTCGCTGTTCTCGTGTAGCATGATATGACAGTTCCGGTCGCGCTCAGGAAAGATTGAAGTGAATAGTGGTGCACTTGAGCTTGATAGTGTTCCATTCTCGCCATTGCTGACTGTCACACATATCAGCATTTGATAGCAAGCGCTTCAGCGACAGATTGCCATACTGTGATTGACCCAGACAGACACAAGAGAGCCAATGCGGATATTTGGCAAGCGTGTTGCATACCACAGACGGACTGTGATCGCACCACTGCCGTCTTTCACACACAGCTTCACGCAACCTTTCGCGGAGCGTGGTGTCCGGGATGAGTTGGCAACATCAAAGATATTAGCCACTCGTCCCATGAAGGTCACGGCCTTTGGGCCTGCGATGAGGTCGCTGATCTCCATGTCCATGTATTCGAAGTCTTTGCCTAATCAGCGATTGTCACAGCAACCCAAGATGCTCCTTACCCGGATGCCATGTCTCTTGGGCTTTGGGTTTGAGAGCTTCTTGAAGTTCCTCGGCAGTGAAGCCATCGCCCACAGGTGTCTCTACAGCCGGAGATTTGACTGGAGAGGTGACTGGTGTCAGATAAGCCTGAATGGAGGCGTTGGTGCTCTTAGAGCCGCCCATGTTTAGGATGTATCAAAAGTGTATGAAGAATGTGTATGTGGGACGAAGAGGTGCCAGATGAGATGGAGGCAGAACTGGCCGTGCGAGGAAGGAGCGCGTGCATCGCGACTTCCTCAGCACCTTCCCAAGCTTCTTGATTTCGCCACCTACCTACTGTTGATGTAAGTGCGCACTCCTTTTGTCGAGCAAACACAACAGCCTCGATGGCTTGCTAAAAGTGTGCACATCCTGCGCAGAGTCCTAGCATCGCACGTGGCCAAGAGTGGCTGCTCGGGTGCAGCAGGCTCTATGTGGCGAGCACACTGTCTGTGACCTCCATCCGCCGGGCTCCAGTGGGTTATCCTACTCTCAGGATTGCGGCAGCCGGTTCGAAGTCAACATCTGGGGCTGCTCTTCGGTGTGCGACTGCTGCCAATGAAAGGTGCTTGTTGCCTATCCCAGCATCTTTCAGGTCTTTCCACGCCACGCACTTGCACTCGCAGCTTGATCTTGTAAAGTCTGCCGCAACCACGGCTCTCCTTGCGCAACCCCATTGGCCATTGCCGCGTCCTCGCCAGTAGTCGCAACAGCAGAAGCACAAGTCTGCTGGGCTGCGTCTACGACTTTGCTCCAAGTGTTTAGATCAAATTTCCCTGCGGATTGGTCGAGCAATTGTTCACCGTCCTTGTCGAAAGCAAGAGCGTGTATGCTTCTACTGCTCTTGATGGTCTTCTCATCAGGCGCCACAACGATCTCTCCCTCGACATCGACAGCTGCCAGAACAGCACTCATCGTCGTCGCAAGCGGTAGTCCTCCATCGGCCAGTGCAAGGAAGGCAGCGTTCAGCAATGCGGGCAAGGTCGAGATGTCTGTAGGCGTTTTGCGAAATTTCATGGTTGGCTCTTTCGTGACTTGCAGCGTGACTTGGATCAGTGTTCGCGGGTGCATGTGAACAAGCAGAATGCTTTTGAGAACGGATGCTACCACTGTCCCGAGCCACCTTTCACGCGGCCCACCGACCCCAGCAGTTGGCCGCAAGTTGACCTCGATTGCAGCTTCTTCCGGCAATTCATCTCGTCGTTGCACGTCAACGGGCCCATTGACACCGGCGATGACGGTGTAGAGACCATCTGAGAACACCGTTGATCCATCGGCCCTCACCAACGGGTGCTGCATCACTTGCGGTCCCATCTTGCTGTCAAGTGCGGTGCGTGTGGCAGACAAACAGTGTTGCCAAAATCGTAGCTCGAGCTGTATGGAGGCGTGCTGTGCCATGATTGGCTGTTGGGCAGCAGCGACCACAACATCCCAGCTTCACGTAAACACGAGACCACCGCCGCACCCGCACAGACAACGACCACTTCGCGAGGCCATCCTTACAGCAAAAGTCGCACGACGCGCCGGCGAGCGCAAATTTCCTCAATTGACGCTCCATATGTATGCGCGACGACTCGATCTGCGACGATAAGCTTTCGCGCACGCGACTGCACACCCACGCGACCTGCCCGAAACCTGGACCCAAGACATGTCAATCGTGTTGACACGAGCGCCGCTAGAAGTCATTGGAATGAACGGAGGCGCTACTCAGAAAAGACGCAGTGCGCGACTGTCGGGCGAGGGCAACGGCGAGAATGAACCACCGGCGAAGAAGGCGAAGGTCAATGGAGGCACGACGACCACGATAAATACAAAACAACAAGATGGCGAACCTAAGAAAGCTGCGAGTAGAAAGAAACGGCAAGGTAGGGACACGCTGCGAGGGAGCACAGGTGGGATTTTGGCGCTGACCTTGGGCAGAATATACCGATCAAGCAGACGACTTCCAGTTCGCACGGAAAAGCAGTAAGCGGAAGAAGACCACCCAGGATGCTGTTGTTCATAGCAATTTGGAAGCTGCACCAGCAGCTGAAAGTGCACCAGTGGCGGAGAAGGAAGAGCCTGCGCAGGCCGAGCCTCCAGCTGAGGAGCCAGCACCGAAAACCACGCAAAAGAAGACGCGAAGACGACTGCCAACGACACCTGAGCGCGAAGTTACCGAGAAGCCATCCCGACGGAGCAAACGCCTGTCAGATGAGAAGTCGACAGAAGCAGCAGCGCAACCCTCCCCACACAGGCGAGCCTACGCAAAGTCGCACGAGAATGCGGATCGTTCACCAAGTCCGGGGCGAGGACGTCCTCTTACGGTGGAGAAGAAGCGATCACAGCCAGCTGAGGAGCGAAGAGAGACTCGAGTGATGCAAATTTCTTTACCTTTTGCCGATACCCCCATTCAACGGCGAAACAAGGAGATGCGCAAGACGAGTGCGGAAAGCCATCGGCGTAGCAGCACAGGAATGCGTGGGAAACGGGCGAGTAGTGTTATTGACGAAGGGCGAGGCAACGGTAAGTCGATCATTTCTTTCAAAAATGGGTGTGCAGCTCCTCACCTGGTGCTTTTGCATGCAGAGCTGTCAGACACAACAACAGTTCAGTCGAATCACCCTTCGGTGGAGCCGACAGTGACCGGTTCCTCGCCTGACAGCGCTTCTGGAGACCAAGCAATGTCTACCGCTGAACCTCAGATCACGAACGGGGACATACAAGAAACAATTACTGACGAGAGTTCCGCCTTTTCAGCTCTGCCGCATACCGAAGTTCCGGCCAACGAGTTTTACAAGCATATATCTGCAGACATCACTGAACCTCGCCGCATGCGATCTCTGCTTGGGTGGTGCGGGACAAGACTGTTACCACCAAAACCTCACCCTCCAACTCAGAATACCCCATCGGCAATGCTGGAATTTCAAGCGCAGCAAGCAGGTGAGTAACATTATCTCCCCTCCATCTTTCGGCCGACTGATGTTTTATTAGCGCACGTCATTCAAGAAGAGCTGTCACAAAGCCTGATGACGAACGGAACACTGAGCGACTGGTTTTCGAGGGACGAGTCGATTCCGCCTCAAATACCTCTGCGCAAGAAAGCAAACCCTCGAAATGTTGCCAATGCTGCAAAAGCTGAAGAGCTGGAACGAGAATTAGAACGGTAAGCATCACAGTCTCCCGGAGTCCCTATAGCAGCTGACGGTTCCCTGTGTAGATTAAAGTCAGAGCGCGCCGAATGGGATGCTCTAACAAAATCGGCGGCTTCTGTAACACTACAGCCCAGCAGCACCGAAGACCAACAACCTGCCGAAACGGGAAGTCTATCACCAGTGCATCCGGACCTACTCGATAGTCCACAACGCAGGATCTTTGAACAATTAACTTCTTCGGAAGATGCAACAGCCACAGTCGCCGACCCGGGGACAATTCAATCACGGCTGAAAACTATCTCCGAAGACTTGGAATTCGCGGTGGATCAGTTCGCCCACGGGATTCATACTCTCAGCACGACGCGCGAAACTGCGGAGCGTGTGGCGGAGAAGTCTTTGGCGGATGCTGCGAATGTACTGGAGGAGAGGGAGAAGCTCAGAAACCAAGGAAGCCAGGCTGTAAATCAGATGGACGCGCTGAGGGGTTTGGCGAGGGTTTTGAATTCGCAGCAGCAGCAAAGGCGGTAGCTGAATCCGAAGTCTGCGACTTTGTATCAGTGACTAAATTACTGTTGCTATGTGCAGGAAGGAGTTGCTCGTACAACTCTTCTTCTTGGCTGACCGTTATCCAAGTTGGAAAATGGATGGCTAAGGCGGAAGAGGGAATTTCAGCAGTGGACAACGGCAGACAGACAACTTTACGACATGAAGAACGTGATTCGTTTCCCGCATGTGCTGTGCAGTGGCTGTGTTTCCATTTTCTGTTCTCGTCAGGGTTGTTCGATGATAGGGCCCGGAAGTGACAAGGAGTTCGAATATCCATAGATCGAATGCTGATCGTCTTTCACAATCGATCCAGGTGTCATCAAGATCGTGGTTGCTGCCCGATAGCATGAGACCACTATACGGCAAAGCGGACGGAATGCAATACTATACAAAGCCTACACGGTTCCTAAGTTTGAAAGAACGATGATATTTGTGGCGCTCGCTGTAGGGCAGGCATCGCATCACGCATAGGTGTTGTTTGAAGAGGTTCTTGAATGTGTCCTCTCCGTGGGACGAAACAGCTATAGGAACTGTTCCGGTGTGTGGGTAGTGGGAGCAGACGTTTGATGTCAACGCATATCGGTACCAGAACCAGAGTTGTGGGGTCGCTTTTTGACTTGACAACTTCGGTCGTACTGTACGTACAGAGGAAGTGGTGCGTCCCGGTGAGACTATTTATGAAGCTTTTCTGCACGGAACGTTTATCTTACCGGCGGAATTGGAATATTGAACGTTGAGTGTAAAGAGAGTTGGATGTGTCTTGTGCGCAAGTTTACGATTCACTTTCATGTTCCTGTTATCATCAACACCAGCGTGTTCATTCTGCTTGTTGGAGGTCAATGGCATCGCGAAGGTCGTCGAGGTTCTAGAAGAGGCTGTAAGCACAAGAGGTTGGTCTTACGTGTTGGGTAATAAGAGTCTCGGACTGTGCGACGTCCACTTTGCTTACGCTCCCGTGCTCAGGAGTCTGTTCCTGGTGACGGATGCAGAGACTAGCACTTTCCGAATCTAACCACTTCCTCGCATATCAGGGCTGAAGAAATAGGCGATTGTGTTGCCTTACAGCACTCTATCGTGCTATTGGGCACTTTGAGTTGGTGGTTGTTGTCTCATGTCCCGTGGAATCGTCAGTGGCTCCAAGCGGCTGGGTTCTGATTGCAGTTGGTGGACTGCACGGAAGAACCTACTTGGAAGGAGAACAACACTGCTCTCCCGACGACTTGGAGCGTCATAGTCTAGATCTTGGTGTCGTTCGAAACACTGACAGGGTATGTCCGCCATCTTCTGAGACATCAGGGTCCTTCAAGTCATGTTCGTATTGAGTAAATGCTGTGCCGCGTCTCCCGCTGCTCTTCATCACTGAGGGAAATTCATGCAAGATGATCGATCACAGGCCGGCAACGTGATGAGCCTGTCCAATGTAGCTTGTTATAGAAATGGCTTGCTGACAATGGTCACTGCGGTCGCATGATGTCCACATGGCATTTTGAGTCGCTTCATCAAATTCTCCATCACGGACCTGCGCAAGGCAGGCTAGATGGGCAAGCTCTTGACATGCAATGGCTTGATCGCTGCTGAGAGCCTGTGAAACATGCGAACCGTTGGGGGATGACTGGGCTGATGAACAGGTGCCATAACCGTCTCACCTGGCCGGGATGCAGTCCGAAAGTCGCGATGGGAATTGCGGTCAACGTCGACACTGCGGCAGTTTCGTGAAGTTTTTCAGCCGACGCGTACAGCACCCGCGCCAATTCACTTGCTGTCTGGCGCAGGAACGAGTCTGGCGAAATCATCCTGGCACGGCGAGACAGGTGCCCTGGTAGATGTTCGATATCCCGGAGCATCACTAAACTGCTCGGATGCGGCTTCACACAGCGCTGATATTGCGATTTTCGATGGAATGTTGAGGTATTTTGGAATGACGACAACCACGTAGTCCTCCTGTCTATCGTCTTTCCATTGTGGTGATGCCGCGGCTGCTACTGCATGCCGACTCAGGCAGCGCGATGAGACGCGTGACGTCGCAGTGCGGCGTTCTGTATTGTCGAAGAGAGGAATGGCTCGTGTGCGGGAATAAAGGCCAAGATGGCAGCGCGAAGATGATTGGTGTGATAGCAGGACGCACTGGGCAGTAGGCGCCACGATGCTCGAATGTCGAAATCTCCCAAACGTCTCTCCACCAGTTGCATGCTCGACGGCGCGCACTACTGGCTGCCCGCCCGAACATCCTGCCGAATTGAGCGCAGCTGCTGCGAGAGTCGGCCCTCACCGTCGTTCAACCGCGCACGCTAACGTGGTCAGTCACCCCCAGGGTCTTCAAGAGTCCAAGCGGAGGCTCTGCTGTACGCATCTAGCTACGGAGAGAATAGACAGGACTTCCCACCACAGCGCGCAGCTGAGGAAGCAGACGGCGACGAGCACGATGCTTCACGGCATGACGATGGCAGGCGTTGAAACATTATTTGACAGGTGAACCTTTCCGCCAGGAAGATGCTCCCAATGTCTCTTCACGTGCGCCCCTTGCCGGAGCTTTGATCAGCTTCATTTCTTTAAGCGCAATGGCTCGGGACCACCGACCGACCAGGGCACAAGCTCGGCACTGTCGTTCGCCAGCACCAGGCCGTCCAAGCGCTATGTGTGGTCGCCATCACGCCTCCTTGGGTTACGGCGTTGCCCTTCGTTGGGAGCTGTCTGATCGCAGTCTGGATTATGGTTTCGCTTGTGTGGCTTGCTGTCTGCGATCTGGCAACCGTTTTGGTGTTTCGAACCTTGAGCAAGCTGCACTGCTATGCTTTTGTTGTCTCACACTGTCTCCCTTGTACATGTGTGTAACGGCAGCAGAGAGCTCTGTCTGTCAATCCAGGTCTGCGAGCTAGGAGGAGTGAGCGCGAATATACCGAATTGCTAGGCCGAGGAGAGTGAGCTATCCTCAGTAACCACATCGACGATACCGAGGGCCTGCGATGGTGCACCGCGTTTCTAGGACACCGACGAGTCAGCAACACCACTTCAACACCACGAACGACACCCACCGAGAACCGATCCAGTTGTAATGTCACTGGCTGCCACTCTTGCGCGAGATGGCGTGCGGCCAGTTTCTTTCCTGCCCGCGATCAAGTGCTCAACATGTGGCATCGACATTGAGATATCAGAATTGGCGGACCATGTGTGTTCTGGACAAAGTGCCCCAGTCACAGCTCCGGCTCCGACTCCAGCTCCCCCTCCAAGCCCGCCAAAGAGTCGCATACCAGGTTTGAGCAACCCTTTCAAGCTGCGCCAACATGATGCGAGCAGCACACCGCCTGCGACGGGAGCGCACACCAGGGAAGAGCAGGAACAGACACCCAGTAGAGGCCCGACGCTCAGCAAAAAGCCTTCGCGGATCGCATTGCCCAAGATCAATGCTACGGCAGCGAATCAGTCCTTTCTGAGCCCCCATCCAAAGTTTGAGGCACCGATTACTCCAGCGTCGAGTGGTGGCAAGTTCTCAAGCCTCCGCAATATTATCAGTCCTATGCCCCGGCATCTTGATCAGCGACCACCAAGCCCGGAACTGAGTGCGAATTTGGATTGTGCTTTTCCTCCATGGCCAACATCAGGCAGCAGTACGCCCGGCAGGCCATCGACCAGCAATGGAAGAAGAACACCAGCAACTGATCGAGCGCCCTCACGCGCTGAGTCAAGGGCCGCGTCGCGCAACGAACAACATAATCTCACAGTCGAGGATCCTTACAGCTATGAACCGAAGAGTCCACGGTTGAACGGAGGCGAGAATGTGCTGCAACGGCTGAACATGCTGAAGAGTGGTCCTTTTGCAGCAAAGCGGCAGGGCAGCGCTGAATCGAAAGATGGAGGCGCATCGTCTAATTTGAGGAGGCCAAGCGCGGTAGAGGCAAATCGCCCTGCGACTGCCTCATCAACTCATTCGAGGCCGACGACACCTGCCACGAGTCACAGCCAGTCGGAAATCAGTCGCATACCGAAGAAGGCGACACCGCCACCGCGGCCATCACGACCCAGCGAAGAAATCTTTTCACCAACTTTCCTTGAGCAGTTCAGCGCGGAACCAGAAGACGCGTCAGTACCCAAAACCGCCGGGCTCGTTTCAAACAACTCGTATCCAGCTTCTCCTGCTCCCGAAACGTCAAGGTCAGGATTACAAACATTAGCGAAGCAGCGAAGTGAACCAGCCCTACGCAGCTCGCAGCGCAGGCCATCCTTGGCTAACCCGCCGCCCTCTGCACTTCCATTACCCTTACGAAGTCAGAGCAGGAATGCTTTGCGCACAGATCATCGCATTCAGGATGCGCCTCCGGTGCCCAAGCCGGTGTCGCAATATATGCAGCTTGAGAGCAGTCACGCGCCTTCGGAGTCAGACGCGTCGACGATCTCAACGACGCACTCATCGAACTACACTGATCACACATACAGCACACGTCCAAGCCCAGCGGGAAGTGTGGAGGCATTGTCTCCACTTGCAAATGCCCTCAGCAAGCCGGAAGACGACGAACAGTTGCGCCCAGCAGGGTTGAACATTCGAGCTCAGCAGAAGCCTGGTGAACGTGCAGAGCTTCCAAGACAAGCGTCACCACCACGAGCTTTTACTCGCCATGCGCCCATTCCTCCGACGCCAGCGAAGAGAGAGGACTTTTATGCTCTGGAATCGCCCATGGATCCAAATATGCTTCCACATCGTGCTGCTGCAGGCCAGGAGCCAAGAGAAGCTTCTTTCAAGGTCCCATCAGCGCAGGCGAGTCCCTTGAGAACACGAACTCCTGTCGAGGTACCTCGTGTAGATCCAGTCAATAGGCAACTATCCCCAATGGTTCCACAAGAGCCATCGTTAGACGGCCACGAGACGGGAAGCCATTCGAGCTCGCACTACGGGTCCAGAGCCCCATCAGAAGCAGGTGATATGAAAGCTGCACCGCAGGGCACTTCCCAACCTCCGCCTACTCCAGAACAGCCACAGCAACGACGACATGCTCGTCGTCCAACAATGTCGCACAAGGCTATGTGCCGTGGCTGCGGGCACATGATTGAAGGAAAATCTGTCAAGGCTGCAGACGGACGTCTCACAGGAAGATGGCACAAGGCATGTTTCGTTTGCCGGACCTGCGACGCGCCTTTCCTCACGGCCGACTTTTACGTCATCAACAACCACCCATACTGCGAGCATCACTACCACGAGCAGAACGACTCATTATGCCATGGCTGCAATCGCGGCATCGAAGGCCAATACCTCGAAACCACGACCTCAACCAGGCAAGGTGTTGTCGACAAGAAATACCACCCGCGATGCTTCACTTGCTCGCAATGCCGCGTGATCTTGACAGACGACTACTTTGAGATCAACAGCCGGGTATACTGCGAACGTCATGCGCTGGCTGCAATGCGGGTGCAAGCGCACGCTGCGGGCGTCCAAGGCCTGTATCCGACCGATCACCGCGCCATGATGGCAGGACGCCGGACCACGAGGCTCATCAACCCAATGATGGCATAAACTCCCAGCAACCATCACGAGACTTCTTTCTGCTCGACGATTACATCTGCATACAACGGCAGTCACGTTCTGACGCCCCTTCCTCACACACTCACGACCTGAATGACATTATTGACTCGATCATAATCGACACCGACATCACCATCACGACAGCATTGGCGCAGCTGCCTGAACGGCAGCGTGCTATCTAATACAGAGAAAGAGTCGTCTCTTCACGACAACATTCGCTCTCACTGGCTACCGCGTTCGGACCAGGAGACCACAAAGCCCAACGCAGCGCGAACTGGTTGGCAAAGCAACAAGAGAGTCCAAACATTCTGGACTTCTGTTGTGGATTCTTTCGTTTTTGGGAGGACGTACATGGCCTCCCCCATCTCCATCAATTTGGATTATTGTGCTTTTTCAAGAGATACCCAATATCAAGCAGCAAATCTGGCGCTTGGTTTGCCCTACCTGATTGAACTAAGATTATTTAACCATCATCGGCGCGCTCCGGACACGCTTCTATTCTTCTGTTGAAGCTGAAGCTGGAGCGGGGAGCTGATGATGACGAAGAAGAGTAATCAGTAGTGCTTCTTACGACTTTGATAGATGTAAAATGTAAATATTATTTTACTCGTGACTTATGACTTCTCTATCTCTTAGAAGGGGATTTGTGCGTTTGCACCTCATACGTGGTGAACAGCGCGATACCGGCGCAGAGTTGACCTCTCTTCTCTTCTAGTTCAACTTTGCATGAACTGTACCACACAGAATTGCTCAAAGCGGCGATTGATGACGCAGGGAAGGGAATGAGATCTATCTTCTCTACGCTACTGTATGTACATGTACCTTGCTACGGGTTCGCTTCCTTTGCGTCGCACGCAGAACAATCGTTCCTTCCAGCCTTACGTCCGCCTTTTTGGTATTCGACAGAAGCGGTCTGACGAATCGCTCTTTCCTTCCGATTGCACGTACGTGGTTCGCTGGGCATGGAAAGCACCACGCGAGGGCGATGAAAAGCCTAGGGAGTGGTTTGATTTTGCATGGGTGATTGATTTGCTGTGCTGTATGAGGCAGCGGGGCCGAATCGGCATCGGAATGCCGATGATTGATGAACTACCGCGGCACGCTCTTTCTTCTGTAATCAACAAGAGTCACGATTGCAAGGATGAATGCTCAAATGGGTAATATATACTGTCATGAACATTCAATGTCGCGTGCGCATTCGATATTGCTTCGCATCGCTCACGGACAACAAGAAGACTTCCTACTCAGCACAGTACAGTATGCAGCACGACCGAGGATTCAATCGAAGCAAGCGGCATGGCATCAATCAATTCCATCCACCCGCTCGTGTTTCAAGAGGAAGAACGGACGAACCCCCTTCACAGTTACCAAACTCTGTCTCCTCAACGTTGACAAGCCCATTTCCCGAAAAAGAGACCACGCTCTCCACCCTGGGAGCATGTCACTATTCTTGTTTGGCTTTTGCGTGCCTTGATGATTGACATTGAGTGTTGGCATGGGGTTCCCACTCTTTATGATCGATTTGCTGCTATTTTTGTAAACTGTTCTCAGATTTGATGTTGTGCTGCAAGAGGGGTAAAAGGAATTGAGGAAGTGATGTTTTTCACGTTGTTTAATGGGGACCTGACCCGGTAGGAATTTCCTCGCAACAAGAGACGAGTGGTGGTGGTGGCGCCGGCAGCAGCAGCGGAAGGTGTTTCCTGCCTGCCGTGATGTAGAGTGCGGGAACTAGGCAATTTCTCGAAGGACGTATCGAAGCTCCCTAGAACGCGCTACCCGACGGAGCTTCGATGGCGTTTCACTCTCCCACAAATCTCCAGTCTCAAGGCTCACAGCACGGATGACGATGGGATCCGGACAGAACGATGTCCGATGGGACGGGCTGACTGAGAAGAAGGGTGTTGTCGTTCCGGATCTGTAGTCAGCAACCAGTTCTCCTGTTCAGCTCAGGGCGCCACACAGAGAGATGAGTGGCCGGCGTGTGAGACGAAGGCTCGATTGAGGGTCGTACAAATGCTGGCCTGACCCGGCCTGACGGGTGTCTCTCCTCCCGTCTGCATCAAAGGCTTCGGCCAGAAGCGTTTCAGCTGCGGCATCCTGTCGTGTGAATGACGAGGGATGGCTTTTCGTCAATGTGCTTACGGCCTATTCGGTGAGTTGGTTGTTGCGGGCGGGTGAGATGTGCAGATGCAGTTGCAGGAACGAGAGGCAGCGACTAGTGTTTGTATACTGTACCGCGCGGACTCTCTCCACGTCTGGGGTCATGGCCACGGCCACGGCGAGGTGAGGGGCGGGCGGTGGTGGCAGGATTTCCCGTCACAGCGCTGGCCGCGCGATCATGTCGTGCAAGTGGCACAGTCCGAGATCCTGTCCTCATGCGATGCGTCGAGCGAATCAGGGGCGGATTGGAGGCTGTTCACGGCCAGGAAGCGGCTGGTCTCTGCGGTGGAGGGTGTTTTTCTGTTCTGGCAGCACGGTCCCTCGTGTCTGCGTTGATGCCAGCAGGCGAGCCGGGAGAGGGTTGGGACAGGAAGAGGCACCACGCTCTCACACCAGCACATCGTGCCTTGTCGCACCGTCTGCAAGCGAGACACTGCCTTGGCTCTACTTACAGCACCGCTGCTGCTGCTTTTGCCGCCGCCGTGCCACTTGCCAGCAGGAGCGTCGGCGTCCGAGCAGCTCCTTCGCCATCCTCATACCACCAACACCACCAGCTGTTCGCGATCCTCACAGCGCAGATCCGCGACAGCTCCAGCTCCTCCCAATCCTCCCTCGCCACCCGCTTTGACCCAGCTCGCCGGCCTGCAGGTCATCGGCAGTCGAGCACAGCAGCGCGCGCGCCCATTGGCTGATAGGCGCTGGGATAGACGGGTTAGCAGGAAGGCTGTTGATCTCGCTCCCTGCCTTCCGAAAGTCATTTCGAGCGCCCGGCTGTTACCAATCAAATCTCCCTGCAGCTCCAAACTGGGCCTCCCACTGCTGTCTCCAGCGCCAGCACTGCCAGACCTCACCTCTGCTGCAGTCCGCAACCTCCTGTGCGTGAACGTCTGCACGCGAGCGGCGTACCTGCCTCCCCTCCACCCCATTGCCTGCGAGTGTGGACCCGACCGACTGCGAGCCTCGTCGACCACCGCCCACCGCCTCCGAGACGCGACGACCCGACGCAATCTGCGAACGCCTCCGCCTGCCGACGCTCGCCGCGCGAAAGGAGCGGAGAGTGCACCGTCTCCATTGCGCTCCATTCATTGTCCGCGCCCACGACTGCTCGACGTGCGAGACAGCTGTCCGCCTTGACGCTTGCTGTCATTGACGAGGTAAGTGCCCTCGCCGCCGTCCTACACCACCATCACCACGAGACGAAACGAGACGAAGCACCGCACAACCGGCCCTCGGCATTCGCGAGACAGAGTCTGCAAGCTGGCCGGCGACCTGTTCGACACACCATCGCGTCGTGAATTGAGCTTGTGCAGAGGCTAGCCACGGATCGGCAGCAGCTGCGTTGGTCACGTTGCGACGGCAAACAACATCTTCGTGCTACCATCATACCATACGTCGGAAACAGGCTTTCCAAGGCATTGACTAACGCGTTTCGGCCAGTTCTCGACGTATATCCCTACTGCACTAGCACCTACCCGCACGCACTCGCGCGACCTCGATCGCGCCCCATCGCATTCATTCCCCTTCCTCGACACATACATCGCGCCACGGCCGTGCGCGCACAACCGCCATCATGGGGTGTGGACAGAGTTCAGAGTCCAAGGAGGGTAAGCAACGAAATGAGGAGATCGAGAACCAATTGAAGCGGGACAAGATGAACCTGCGGAATGAGATCAAGATGCTGCTCCTCGGCGCTGGTGAATCAGGAAAATCGACAATTCTCAAGCAGATGAAGCTCATACACGAGGGAGGCTACTCAAGAGACGAGCGAGAAAGCTTCCGGGAAATCATCTTCTCAAACACAGTGCAAAGTATGCGCGTGATCTTGGAGGCCATGGAGAGCTTAGAACTGCCATTGGACGATCAACGAGCCGAATACCACGTGCAGACCATTTTCATGCAACCCGCACAAATCGAAGGCGACGTGCTACCTCCCGAAGTCGGTCAAGCAATCAAGACTCTGTGGGCTGATGCCGGCGTGCAATCAGCGTTCCAGAGGAGTAGGGAGTACCAGCTGAACGACTCGGCCAAGTACTACTTCGACTCCATTGACACAATCGCGTCACCGACGTACATTCCTTCCGACCAGGACGTGCTGCGGTCGCGTGTCAAGACAACGGGTATCACAGAAACGACATTCATCATCGGCGACCTCACATATCGCATGTTCGACGTTGGTGGCCAAAGATCGGAACGGAAAAAGTGGATACACTGCTTCGAGAACGTGACGACAATCCTCTTCCTGGTGGCAATATCAGAATACGACCAACTTTTGTTCGAAGACGAGACCGTGAACCGAATGCAAGAAGCTTTGACACTCTTCGACTCGATTTGCAACAGCCGATGGTTCACCAAGACCAGCATAATTCTATTCCTCAACAAGATCGACCGCTTCAAGGAGAAGCTACCCGTGTCACCCATGAAGAACTACTTCCCGGATTACGAGGGAGGTCAGGATTATGGCGCCGCATGTGACTACATCTTGAACCGTTTTGTCTCGTGAGTATCTCCGGCGCATTCGGCTTTTCTCTGGCAAAACTGACCTTGCTCTAGGCTCAATCAACATCCTACCAAGCAGATCTACACACACTTCACGTGCGCGACAGACACCATGCAGATACGATTCGTCATGGCTGCTGTGAACGACATTATCATCCAAGAAAATCTGCGCATGTGCGGGCTGATATAATCGGCCTTTTTTCGATGCATGAATGCGAGACCTTGGAACCCCGGGAGCGGCGAAGAGATGATGATCGTCGCCACTTTTACTGGGGATGTGTGCGCTACGGACATTGTGGTTCGCAACAGTACGCATGGCATGCCACGCAGAAATGGGAGAGTGTAGAAACATGAACAGCAACGACGCGCGGACATCGACACATTTCTGGGACGCTGTTTTTGCCGCTACTGCTGGCCATTACAAAGATTGCGCGACATATATCAAACACGGGGAGGGGGGGTTTTCCACTGGATGGGCGAAAGAAGGACTGTATTTCTTTGAAACGGCAACGAGGTGCGAGAAGGGGGGGAGAGAAGGAGTCAGTGACGGCCGCGCTGAAGACGGAGGCAGCAGACAGCGGTGGCGGTGGTCAAGTCAGGTCAGGTCAGGGCGCAAAGGGCATGATATGATCCATCTTCTCACCAATCATCATCATCGTCATTATCAACATCAACTTATCTATCAACTTCGAAACCAATTACCTCATCTTTTTAGTGCTCGTTTACTCGTCAATGATGATGATGAAGAGATATTCAAACCTGGCTGGACCTTGTACAAGCTGCTTTTCTCGTTCTCTGTCTCCAGTGTACTAATGCTCCATCCCAGGCTCTCGGCTCCATTCGCCTTCTGATATATTGTCCACTCCCTCAAATCCTCTCCTTCGCTTCTCCGCCAAATATCTTACTCCAATACCCGTATTCTTTTTCCAGCGATAGTGAAGAGCTAGGTAGGTTGGTAGGTATATTGCACACTTTCTGAACGAGAACCCTGTTGTCCTTGTGCTGATGGCTTGCGAGAGGAATGGGGGGTTTGTCATTGAAAATATAAGAATTGGGTGGACAATTTTCTGAATGAATGTATGTGTAGGAATGGATGGATGAATGGATGTTTGTTTTTGATATGAATGAATGAATGAGAACTTGGCTAGGAATCCAAACAAGTCAATTGGTTTTTTTTCGTAGTATCTTTTCTCTGAGCTTTTCCGTCGTCCTCGAGTGATATAACATTATCACTGAGTGAGTGAGGCGGGAAATATTATTGTTGGGTTGGATTTCCATTTTTTTTTCCCCGCAGGTGCTGGGCAATTTGGGAGAGAATAGAATACTTTTTTGGATGGAGGAGAGAAGAGGAGAGAAGAGAAGAGAGGGTTGAGCAGTTGTCTTTTTGAGAAGACAAAATTGGGATTAGGATACGGTACGATATGAATTCCATTCGTGTTTGCTGCCAATGTTTGGTAGCAGTATTGACAGAGGCGTTAAGGCGTGCCCGCAGAGAGGGACGCGTTCGGAGTCATTGAGGTTCGTTCGTGTTCCGCGCCAACATAGGCTCTTGCGTGCCTCCTACTAGCGGGACATGTTCTCTTGGTTGACTGTTTCGAGGACTTGTTTGTAGCTTAGTAACTCGACACAGGAAGGCACTCTCAATCGTTGGCACTAATTCACGAACCAGAGAACATATCTGCGATGGTGCCGATCGTCACGTTACCTTCAAGCTTGCCGTACTTCGTACTTAGTAGCCTGGCAGCATGATCAACAACATTTGAGTGCTCCTTTTCACCGCAGTCTTGCCTACCATGACCACAGAATCCCACTCGAAGCAATAAGATTCTCCCTCCGGCAGATCGGGATCGTGGTCATTTGATGATGCCTTGAAATCCAGCAGATTCGGATGGTACATGGACTGTTTTACGATCGCGCTCTTGATGCTGAACTCTTCAATCTGCAAATCATCGCGTACGTTTTCGAGGATCGCTTGCCACTCATTCCATCGCAGGCTATGATTGTGGAGATGTAAGGAGCGGAGGGTCTTCGAGAAAGTTCTCAGGACCTGGGACAGGTCGTAGGCGTGCATGAGGCCTCCGTGGCAGAGGTTGAGGCTGGTGAGTTGGAGGTGTTTGGAGTCCTCGAGCGCACGCATGAGGAAGTCTGTGAATGGCTCGAAGTTAAACGCGAATGAGACCTTGCGAATCGATGTCAACTTGGAGAAGAGAGTCATTAGCAAGGTTCGAGTTTTGGTCATCTCGCGAGACCCGAATACCTGGTCGGGGGAGATGTATGGAGTGCTGTCCCAGTCGAGATTGTCTCCGAATGTCACTTCTTCGACAAAGCTCGCACGGTTGTTGTCTTCGATAATTTTGAGGGCGTCTTCGATATCAGAGAGGTCGAAGCGGCCGAAGTCAGTCGAATCATCATCCTGAATGCGAATATTGACGTGAAGGTGTTTCAGGTTCTGCTTTGCAAATTCAATGCTCGACTTCGCGGCGGCGTCGCTAGACGCGAGGCGGAGGTTATTCAGGTCTTTCTTCTCCGTAAACGATGCAATATGCGCAACAACTTCACCAGGAAGCTGCTGCATGATGTCTTGTGTGACGTCGATTTGCTTGTGAGACGACATGTTTGCGTATGGTTTTGCTGCGACCTCGAACTCGATTGACGAGACTTTATAGTAAGTCATCTTCTGTATGTGAGGATATGCTTGATCATCGCAGTACAAGACCATTGTGCACTCATCGACAATGGAGTTTCTTTGAGCTGCATCTGAGGCCGGCCTACAACCAGCTTGCTTTGGCGGACAAAGGCACAAAGGCGCTGAGATTTTGGCGTGCAGCATGTCAAGAGGCTACTGCAACTGCTTTCTGTCGCCTTCTGTTATCGGCCTTCGTCATTCGGCGATGTAGGATGCGATGGCATGGTGTTTCGCGGCGTGAGGTGATGTTTCCGGGAAAAGCGTTCGAGCTCGTGGCAATCGAATGGGGAAGTACGACCAATGCACTGACTGCCTTCCCAAGCAACCACCCAAAACCCGCCAACACTGCAAATTAGCGTCCATCCGATTCGAGGAACACGTTACAAAAGCAGCGGACAGTGAACGTTACTGTCATTATAGTCGATAAGCAATTCATCTTACTCTCGCATCAATATTGTCTCCATGTTCCCATATCCTTCCTTTCCTCCCCCATGCTGTGGTGTGCTTTCCAGAACCGCAAGAGCAATAGAGCAACAGATATTCCCGCACGTCTAACCGTACCATACCAACTCATTACAACTCGACGAGCAAATTCCGAGTGCAAGCTGGCCAAGAACTAGTTGATAAGCAGAGAGTGAGAAGGTGTAAGATATGGTTTCCCTAATGAAGAGTAAATTCTTCAAGTTCGGCCGTAAAAGAGCATCAATTGTAGTTTGTAGCTCCTGATGATCATGTGTAAAATAAAAAGAAGAAACAGATGCTCAAGTTGAACCCCATCCAATGAATCATAAAATCTTTCATCTTCCCTCTCTCCCAGCTCTTCCGAAGTGAAGATACTGGTAGGGTACTATGCACAAACATGAAAAGTTGTTATCCCGCCAGAAAAGGCTCTCTCACACGCCATCGTGCGCACAGCGGACAACAGCGTGAGAAACGAAGCCCCTGCGTAACAGCTCTGGGTGAAGAAATGTTTCCGAAAAGCTTTGCAGCTTCTTGTGTTCCATCTCTCCAGAATTTGTGAATCCTCTTTTTCTCCAAAATGTGTCCCATTTCCTCCAATTTCTTTCTTTCTTTCCCATGACGGTAATCCAATCAATCAGGTCGTGCACATGCATTGCGAACCAAGAAACCTGCCGTCTCAAATCCAAAAAAGTGTATCCCAGCAACCAACACCAGTTTCCCACCGATTCCTACTTTAGACAAAGTGGCTCTTGCGCTTCTCAGCGGCATTGAGCACACCAAACATCATTTTCTTGCGGTCACCAGCATCGACAGGAGTTGCTGGGGTAGGCGGCTGCTTGAAAGCTCCAAAGTCTTCGCCCTCACTGCTAGATGCTGAGCTCAGACCAAAGTAGCCATCCGCGGAGCCTTGGCTGCCACGCTTCTGCTGCATCTCGGAGCCGATGGGCGACATCTTCCTGCTACCACGCACCTCGGCACGGTCGAAGTTGAAGTCAGACTCGCTGACTGGGCTGCCACCCGAAGAGCGAGACACAGCACGACGGTCATTGCCGGCCTTCATAAGACTGTCAAGTGCACGGCGACGTTGACGAGTGGCAAAGTTCTTGCTGCCTTCGTGCTTGCTTGTTGGTGCAGCTGCCAGTTCTTCGATTGCCGGAGGGCCGCGTGGTTGACGGATTGGATGCTCGCCAGCACGAGCCGCACCTGGACCGAAAGTGCCAGTCATTGGAGTAGGTGGGAATGCACTACGTTGAGAGCCGAAGGTCGCAGCGCTGGAAGTCTTTGGGCCATCTGCCACACCACCCAAAGCATCAATAGCGAGAGAAGATGCCTTCTTATGACCACGGCGGAAGGCGGTCGCAGATGGCGGTGGCAGAGGCTCAACGTGCTCGAGAGTCGAAGGTGGAGATGGCGCCTTCTTTGGTGGAGTGAAAGAGCGGCCATTGGCTGGCGAAGAGCGCTCTGTTACTGGTGGGGTGACGTTCAAGGTCTGCGCCGGAGAGTCGTAGCGTGCTTGCGGGAAGTTCTGAGCCTGAGCCTGCTGGACAGGAGACACTATTTGCTGTGCCTGCTGCTGAACGGACTGGTCGACGACATACGAGTAACCTTGAAGAGCTGGGTTGTACACAAGGTAAACACCAGGTTGACCAGGTACCTCGATTGGAGACTGGAGCTGCTGTTGCTGCTGGAGTTGCTGCTGCTGAAGCTGTTGCTGGAGATAGAGAGCCTGCTGATGTTGCACCGACATCTGTGGCTGATGGAAAGAGCCGCGGCCATTCAAGTTCACGCCTTGAGTGGCGGCGGTGATGTTTGCGAGCTGTTGTTGCAACTGCTGCTGGCGCTGGGCCAAGAACAGGCTGTGCATCTGCATTTGCTGAAGGACGGTGGGGTCAACATCTTCCTGTTCGTACATTGATGGCGGAGCCAAGACTTGCTCGGGCAGAGAGTACATCTGGCGACCCGCGTTCTTGGAATACTGGGCGGACATGTCGAAGCTAGCTCGCGAGGCAGTGTGTGGAACCTGCTGCTGGCTATAGCCAGGGTAGTTCTGGTCTGCCCATTGAGAAGCGTTGATGCCAGAGACGGAGTGATGTGTCTGGTGGTAAGGAGCGGAAGCCGGGACCGATGGAGTCTTGGGCTGGGTGCGGAGACCTGCAAGCAGGTGCGAACGGCTGGTGCGTGGAGTTGGGTTGTCGGTCGAGTTCTCGCTAATGGGAGCAACACGGGGCGGGAGAGCCACGCTCAACCGCTTGGTGTTCTGACGCTGGCCTCGTGCGCCGCTGAAGCCAGAACCGGGAAGACCAAGACCATTTGAAGGGAAGGCGTTGTTGGAGTTATTGTTGTTGTTGTTGTAAGAAGTCATTTGAGCAATGCCGCCAGTGCCAATGCTCATTCTCGATCAGATATGTATGCGTTCCTGTAGTAGTGCGTAGAAATCGGAAGTCGTGAAAGCGTGCTGGTGTTGGGCGCTGCTGTGGGGAGACGATACAGCTGACCGGAACAGAATCGCTCTTGTGTGAGAGGACTGATTAGACAGATGGTGCTGGACGTGTGGTCGAACACGCCAGAATTAGGCCGCCGGTCGGTGTCAAAGGGCTCGGCGTAGCTGTAAGGTGTAAAATTATAAGATTACAAAGAAATAGCCTTGTCTTGTCTGAGTGCCAGAGCCAGCTGCCGCAACAATGCAGTCTTTGTCGTAGAGTGCCGCCGAAAGATGAAGAGCAGAGACGCGCTTTGTTGCCGAGTGAGTCCTGACGTGTGGGAGGCGTCGGGCGAGAGGGCGAGAGTGTTGTGTGTGTGTGCGTGGTGCGGTGAGAGTCAGCGCGTACCCGAGTCAGATGTCGTTGCGGGTGGTGTTGGCGACAGCAGCAGCAGACGAGATCGTCGCAAGGTCGATGGCAGGCTGCGGGCGTGCACGCGCTATATGATGATGATGCGTGCGAGGGCGTGGGCGTGCGCAGGCAATCGTCGGCAAGTTGGAGATTAGGGGGCTCCCGGCGGTGACGAGTGCGACGAGGGCGTGGTGTGTCGCTCTGTAGGCTGCGGTCGGGCGGGCGAAGGGGCAGAAATGCGCAGGCAGGCAGGCAGGCAAGAATGGTGAGTGCGGCGAAAGATGCAACTGGCAGACTAACGGACGGCGGTCGCAAGGGAAGGAATGATGGTGGTCGAGGCGTGTGGTGTGGTGGTGGATGTGAGAGAAGCACTCGCAGCGCGCCTGCTGCGAAGATCAGGAGGAAGCACAGGCTGGCGCGGCGAAAAAGACAAAAAGCGGCCGCCCGTGATTGGACTGGTGCGGGAAGGAGCGAGCGACCGGGGTCAAGCCCACGAGCGCGCCCAGCCACTCGCTTCCATCCCGTCCCTCGTCGCGCGTGCTGCTGCTCTCCGACGCCCGCATGCTGCTGCCGCCATCAACCACATTCTACTCTGCGCTGTCTCGATAGACAGCCATCGCACAACACAGCAGCAGTCAGTCCGGCTCCCTCTCGTGAAATTGCGGGTGCGGCCACCCCACGAAAGCTGCCCATGCCTGTCCGGATGGTGCGCCCACCGTGAGAAACCGCTCATGTCGGTTGGTTTCATAGTGTGGCATGGGTCTGGCGTATTCGATCGGCAGCTCATCAATCGCAGCTAGTGGCATCGCTTCGGTCCTCAGGCGCTTAAGCAACCACAACGCCTACACCACGCATATACCGTGCATAAGGCGCTTCTGCTGATCCAAAAGCAGCGAGCAAACGTTTCCTGTCGTTGTAGTCCCCGGGCGAACCAACGCCAGCGTCCATTGACAGTTTGGTGACAGCAGAGCAGAGAGCTGCTGCTACGCCACCCAGGATCCCTTTGCACATGGGAGGAAGCTATGTGACATTGCAGTCCATCGGCACGCGCAGCGCAACAACAGACTTCGGTCCCTCACAGCACTTCTGCACCATGTGCATCACCTCTTCCACTGACTAGCGATCCGACAAGTCCAGCCTGTGCAGCCAAACACATCAACGTTGAGCCGATCTGCAGACCTGCATTTCCAACCTGCGTGCACATGACTCTACGAGGTCCCTTTGACACAGCAACACAGCTCAGCAGCAACGTGCTATAGCCCAGGAAGAACCCAACTTACGCAGGAACCAAACGGTGACTGACGGACATTGTTCATGTTTGATTGGCCGTTTCATTTATTCCATCTCGCCTCCGAACCTGCTTCGCACACGTTCTCAACAGCGATCAACCCTTCTAGAACTCATGCGACACAACGAAAAATTCCCCGATCCGCATGCGTGAAGCAGCTTCCAGACCACGACTTCGAGATCACCTTTTTCATCATCAGAAACACAATCGTGCCCGAGCACACCAAAACGCGTGAGCACGCCTTTGATACTCGGTACAGTCACAAGTTACACAGCATGAGCATGTATGTATGTGAAAAGCGGAGCCACATCCACTGCCACAGTTGCTACTAATCTGGGCCTGACCCGGCGCCAGCAACGCCAGCACAGCCAGCACGCCAGTTTCCCTGCAGCCAACAAAAACAACGACTTCCACAGCCACTGTTGGTTCGGTGGAGCGAACTCCGCTTCTAGCGTACCACTTTCTCATGGCAACTGTACCTGCTTCCCGCAAAAGCGGTGTGATGAATGTTCTCCTCTGAACGAGAGAATACTTGGTACTTGTAAATGGCTAGCAGTAGGCCACGCGAGCGATAGAGCTCTTTCTACTCCGTGACGGGAGAAAGTAGCTGTCGACATTGTGATTGGGTAGGCGTAACTACATCGAACCCTGCAGTGGGGCGCCACTGTGGGTGCTCAAAGTCATCAGCTTTGCATGGAAAGTGGGTTAGGAGCCGCCGCAGTGAGCTGAGCAGTCCCGTGAGGGATACGAGCGCGAAAGATGCACAATAATGTAAGTAGGGAGGAGCACAAACAACCAGATCGGTGAAACAGGAGATGTTGACTCTTTTGCTGAAGTTCGTGCTTCATTATTGGCCTTATTAGCCTGGGTATCTATCATCGCGCGAGGTCTCAATGTAATGCTGTTTTGGCCTGCCCAATCTCATGCAGGTCTTCCGTGGCAGGCACATCGCTCCTCTTTGCGTTCCATCCCGTTTCTACAGCTGCAGTGCGAGCTCGGCCTCATGTCTCGTCTCTAGGCATCGAACGGTATGGTTCGCCTGCCTGGACGCATGAATGACCATATGCGTGCTCTCTTGCGTCCCTTGCTTTCAATGCTCATGCTTATACTTTGCCATCATGCTGTTTCAACAATCCACAATCAGATGTCCTCAAGACATGTCGATCTCCTCGATGTTGATGTTGTTGCGAGAGTTCTTCATGATCGCCTTGATGTTACGCTCCACCTCGTCCCAGTCGCTGGTGTCAAGCTTGGTGGGCTCGACACCGAAGTGCTTGCAGATGGCCATGAGACTCTGCCAGCTCTTGCGGTCGTGAACGAAGCTGAGCGCAGCACCTGTGCGACCGAAACGACCGGTACGTCCGATGCGATGCAAGTAGGTTTCAAAATCTGGTTGACCATCCACCGTCTCTGGAATGTCGTAATTGACCACCATGGTGACAGTGGAGACGTCGATACCACGGGACAGCACATTGGTGGCAATCAGCACCTTTGCCTCACCCTTTTGAAATTTCCGGAAAGTCTCGTCGCGCTCTGCGCCCTCCTTTGCACCTGTCAGAGAGGCAACATTGTGGCCCTCGGCTGTCATGCGCTTGTCGATCTGGACCGCTGTTTCTCTGTGCTTGACGAAGATGACTGATGACCCAATCGTCATGAGGCCATAGAATTTGAGAAGGGCGGCGTATTTCTCCTCGTCATTCTGGCAGTCCAGGTACATCTGTCGGATGCCCTTAACGGACAGCTCCTCGACCTTCAAGGTGATCATATTCGACTTGGGTGAGAACTGCTCGGCAAAGGCCAAAACGTCTGGTGGGAAAGTTGCGGAGAACAGCACGACCTGGGCGGTCCTCGGCAATTGCTGCTTGACACGCTTGCACTGGTCTGCCATGCCCTGCAGATCGAGCATGTTGTCCGCCTCATCGAGCGTAAGGACTTTGATGCCTCGTGCATCGAGTAGCCGCCGCTTCAGCTGATCCATCACTGTGCCTGGTGTGCCAACAACGACTTGCCCCTCGACGGGCTTCCCACGGGTCTCTGGGTCTGGCACCGATTGCGAGATTCGCAAGCCTTTCTCCAGAAGCTTGATGCCCATGGTCGTCGCGACTCCAGCGATCTGCCGAGCGAGTTCTCGAGTCGGTGCGAGAATCAGCGCCTGTGGCTTGTTGATGGAAAGGTCAACGCGTTGGAGAACGTTGAGGACGAAAGCGGCAGTCTTGCCTGTGCCAGATTGTGATTGACCGATGAAGTTCTGAGGTGGGTCCTTGAGCAGCAGTGGAAGTGCGCGCTCCTGAATCTTGGAGGGCTTCTGGAATCCCATAAGGTCCAGACCAGTGCTGAGCTCTTCTTTCCTATTTGCAATGTCAGCCTACAGTTGCTCAATTGTCGTATATATATCCTTCAGCAACTTACAGCGACAACTCTTCAAACTTCTTGACTGAGTAAAGAGGATTGTTCGGGTCCTCTTGAAGATCTGCCAACTTGACATTGACGTCAAACTCTGGCTCGTTCAAGCCTTTGGAGCCCGCCATGAAGTGACCGGCGCCATCGACCTGAGCCTTCTCGAGATCTTTCTTGTCCGCTCCGTCACCGCCTGTTTTCTTGTCAGAGCCCGTTGCGGTCGAGTCATCCTCATCGGACCATTTGAAGCCAGGACCGGATGGCGTAAAAATCGCGGCGGCAGGGTTGGCCTTCGTACCGTTCGCGGGGGAATTGGTGCTCTTTTCGTCGCCCAAGCTGAGGCCGCCGAGTTTCGGCGCGTCTGGTTCTGTCGACATCTTACTGTTGTGCCGAGGGGCAAGTGTTTGGTGAGGGAGTGGTGCGTGCAAAGAGCGTGGGCGGCTGAAAATGCCGACGAGGGTCAGTTGAGATGACAACGACCGATGTGTTGAGAAGAGGCGCACTTCGCTGAAGTGCGAGAAGTGAGATGTCGGCTGGATGGTGAAAGCGACAAAAGTTGTGAGCTTTCGACAATGGCCGCTTCGAGCTTCGAGAAACAAGGAAGGCACGGACCTCGCCGCACGTGCAGATCGCGGGGCACGGCAGGCCGGGCAGGCACGTTGTTGGGTGCTGGGTGGGCTTGCGACGCCCGGCTTTCTTGGCCGAAGATGATGATGCCCAGTCTTAGTCTTCACTTGTGCATTGTTGTCCTTTCACTTCACTGCTGCCTGCTCGGCCATGACCGTGACTGTTGAGTCGGTGAATGCACGTGAAGTGACATGGCCGAGGTGGAGATTGCGACCAGCTTCGGCGCGGAGCTGAAGGATGGCTTCAAGCCCGTGAATGCCTGGGTGTCAGGCGGCATCGCCTGGCTGAACGACATTGAGCAGTTCTACCGCGAACGTCATGCCATTGAGAAGGAGTACAGCCAGAAGCTGAACGCTCTGGCAAAGAAATACTATGAGAAGAAGGCAAAGAAGACCAGCAGCCTGAGCGTGGGCGACACTCCGACAGTAACTCCGGGCTCTCTCGAGAGCGCATCGATGACCACGTGGACGGTCCAGCTCACGACACTGGAAGGACGGGCGAACGAGCACGATCGCTTTGCGAATGCCTTGATCGGTCACGTTGCAGAGCCACTAAAGCACCTTGCTGCGAAGTACGAGGACTTGCGCAAGTCCCACGCCGACTATGCTGCCAAGCTGGAGAAGGAGCGAGATGGCAGCTACGCGGACTTGAAGAAGACCAAGAGCAAATACGACAGTACTTGTCAAGAGGTCGAGAACAAACGGAAAAAGACCGAGAGTAGTTTCGACCATGGCAAGCAAAAGGCACAAGCTGCCTTTCAGCAGCAACAGGCGGAGATGAGGAACATGAAGAACACGTACTTGATCGCAATCAATGTTACGAACAAGCAGAAGGAACGATATTATCACGACTATGTTCCTGATCTTCTCGATGTAAGAAGTTGCGCTCGTGCTTTGCGTGAAGATCTGTACTAATGTGCTATGTTGGAATAGTCGCTCCAGTCTCTGTCTGAAGCCCGAACTGCAGCTTTGAATGGCTTGTGGCTGACTGCAGCTTCTATGGAGACTCAGGCCATGAAGAACTCGACCCAGCTGTTGGATCACCTTTCGGCAGAGATCCCACGCAACAACCCCGTCCTTGATAGCATGATGTTTGCTCGGCACAATGCGATACAATGGCAAGATCCTCCGGACTTTGTCTTTGAGCCAGCTCCGGTATGGTTGGACGATGATGTGATGGCATCAGATCCTATGAGCAAGACTTTCCTCATGAACATCTTGTCCAAGTCCAAGTCGTCATTAGGAGAGCTGAAACGAGAATGCGAAGCAAAACAACGTGAAGTCGAGGGCGCGAAGCGTGTTAGGCAGGCGATTCGCGAGGGTAAAGATAAGCGGGATGAGGTGGAAGTCGTGCGGGCACAGTTTCACCACCAGGAATTGCTGCACGAGGCAGAGCGGAAACGAGTCACAGCAGAGGTCGAAGTGAGCACCATCACGTCTGCTGTCGGTGACGTGTCCGTGGGAGCTCGAAACCACAAGTTCAAGAATCAGACATACAAGATACCCACGAGTTGCGACTTGTGCGGTGACCGATTATGGGGACTGAATGCCAAAGGGTTAAGCTGCGAAGACTGTGGGTTTACTTGTCATACGAAATGCGAACTTAAGGTTCCTGCAGATTGCCCAGGCGAGCTCAACAAGGAGCAAAAGAAGTCAGCAAAGGCTTCGCGACAAGCCGCAGCACAAGCCGCCCAAGCCGCGCCCCCTCCGCCATCAAGTAATGGCGACCACGCCAGTGACAGTCGTCCTCAGAGCTTGCAGAGGAGCGACACCATTGGGTCGATGAATACTTTGAGCTCTGGATATGCAGCAAGTGCAAACCGCAGCGTATCAGGTATGACGATTCGTTCATCAGCAGACGAACCTCCGTCTGCCACTTCCACAGCACCCACGAGCAAGATCTCTACAAGCAGTAGTACTGCCCGGCATCGTGTGATGGCACCGCCTCCGGCAGCTTACATTAAGCCCAGCGATGGAGACCCTGCCTCGCTGGTGGAGCAGAAAGGCAAAATGCTATATGCTTACACCGCCGGAGGCGAAGGCGAGATCTCCGTCGCCGAAGGGGACTCTTTCACCCTCGTGGAGCCCGATGATGGGTCAGGATGGATCAAAGTCAAACCTAATACGTTTGGTTCGGTCGCCGGGCTCGTACCAGCTTCATATGCCGAATTATCGGCACCTCCTATCCCATCGAAAGCCTCACTGGGTCATGACGTCCGGCCTGTCAGCGCGGCTGCTTCGAACCACTCCACGGCGTCTCTCACGGGAAGCGATGACGGAGCACCTAGACCTAAGAAACAGGGGCCCGCTGTCGCGCCCAGAAGGAGAGGTGCCGCGGCGAAGAAGTATGTCGAAGCTATGTATACCTACCAAGCTAATGGGCCTGGTGAGGTTGATATGGATGAGGGAGAGAAGATGGTCCTTGTCAAGGCGGATGAGGGTGATGGGTGGTGCGAGGTGGAGAGCAGGGCTGGAAAGGGTGTGGTGCCTGCAAGTTGGGTAAAGGAATTGTAGCCGGCTTGCATAAGCATTTGTGCCAGTTGTGATAGATCTTATTTCCTGACATTGTTCCTTTTGCGGAGATGTGCATAGCGGGCCACGGAAGCGATAAAATGCGTAGCATTGAAGTAAGAATAAGAGAAACTCAGCACAGATGAAGAATGTCAAGTCTATCTCAAGTCTACTGCCCGTCTCCACTTACAGCTTACTACTCTGCCCCTCCTTATCACCGACCTCCTGCTTCGCCCTATCCCTCAACTCCTTCCTCAAAAGCTTCCCAGACGGATTTTTTGGAATCGCATCCACAGCCACAACACCACCCGTCAACCTCTTATGCCTACTAACCCTTCCGGCCAACCACTCCGCCACATCCTTCGTCGTCACATCCTTCTTACTCAACACCACATACGCCCTCGGATACTCTTCCCCTCCAATCGTCACACCAACCACAGCCGCGTCCTCCACAGCCGGATGATCCAACAACAACGCCTCCAATTCCGCCGGAGCAACTTGTAACCCTTTAACTTTAATCAATTCTTTCTTGCGATCTACGACGTGTACGAGACCGAATTTATCCTTGAAAGCGATATCGCCTGTCATGAGCCAGCGTTGGCCGGGTGGGCCAGAGGTGAAAGTTTTGAGGGTTTCTTCGGGGCGATTCCAGTAGCCTTTCATGATATTGGGGCCTCGGACCCAGAGTTCTCCGCGTTCGCCTTGGGGAACGTCTTTGCCGTTTTCGTCGACGATGGCGCCTTCGATGTTGGGGTTTAGTTCTCCTACGGCGGCGAGGTCGAGTTTGGATTTTTCTTTGAGGTTGGGGTCCCAGGTTACGGCGCTGCAGGTTACTTCTGTCATGCCCTGTGGAGGAGAAAGACAGTGTTAGTATTAGACGGTCAGTCATGGGGTATGAGTAGGAGAAGAAGAAGGCTTACCCAACCCTGTCGAATCGTAACCCCAACTCCAAATCGCCTTTCGAACTCCGCAATTACTTCCTTCCCCAATGGTGCCGCTCCACATCCCACTCCTTCAAGACTCGAAAGATCATACTTGAACACCTCATCTCGCTTGGTCAACTGCACCACAATCGGCGGCACAAGCGTCAACTGCGTAATCTTATACTTTTGAATATACTCCAACATATCAATAAAATCATACTTCCGCATCAAATACATCGGAACGCCCTGCAAAGGGAAATTCATGCCATAGTACGTCTGACCATAAGCATGATACATTGGTAAGAAAGCGATCGCCGCCGCGCGAGAACGCCATTCGGCGTAGTCCTCTGCGAGAGCGGAGACGTAGTTTGTTTGCTCCGAGTTGGCGATGTAATTGTAATGTGTGATTTCGACGCCTTTGGGGAGACCTGTGGTGCCGCTGGAGTAGTTCAGTACGGCTGTACGATCTTGTTGTTGGGAGCGAGAGGTGAATTCTTCCCAGCGGAAATTTGCGGCTGAGGATTTGGGGACGAGGAGTTTGGTCCAGGATTTGATGATGATGCCTTGAGGGGTGGTGGTATCTGGGATGTTTTGATTGGAGAAGGATTCGACTCCGTCGTCGAAGACGTAGAGATTTTGGAGGGGGAAGTTGCATTCTTTGGCGGCTTGGATGCCGGTTTCGAGGTTTGCGGAGCCGACGAGGAAGAATTTGGCTCCGGAGTCGCGGAGTTGGTGGGCTGCTTCGCGGGCGACGTAGGTGGGATTGGCGCCGGTGAAGATTCCGCCTGCCATTATGGTGCCGAAGAGGACGCTGGTGAAGAAGATGGTGTTGCCGGAGAAGAGCATTACTCGATCACCGGGTTGCAGGCCTGCTTTTTGGAGGCCGGCGGCGAATCTCATGCACCATTCTCGATAAGTGTTATGGGTCAGATAGTTCTCTGGCTTGGCTCCTTCGATCACGAGAGGTTTATCTTCGAGCTTTGCGGTTGGTGACTTGAAGAGATAGGTCGGGAGCGAGCAGGCTGGAATGTCTATACTCCATCTTGATTTCCACGGCATCTTGATGGGTATTGTCCTTTGTCGATTACTATTGGCGTTCGATTGAGGTGGGCTGATCACTCAATTAATGATCTATGATGATATGCAGAGTCAGCAGTATGAAGTCTCTGTGGTGCAATTATCGCCGAAGACAGAGCTGAGAATCACTCGAGGATGTAAGCATGAAACAGAGTGAGCATGACAGAGCAAGAATTGCATGATTCGGCTATGCACGAACACCATCGTCGGCAGTAGACCGATTGTAGATTAATGCCGTGCCGCCTTGACCGTGAGCGCTCGTTTCCGCAGAGGATCCCCAGCACAGCTCCTCTGTGAGTGCTTGTCGAGGCTGGTGCACGCGTGACAAGAACGTGGAGAGTGGGGTCCGGGGCGGTTGTCGGCTAAGAAAGCCTGCTCGAATTCATCGCGTGCCTCGGCAGCTTCTAGAACGATAGCATACGATTCTCCGTATAAATCTCTCGACTTGTGCCAATGTTAACTCTTGTGTGCAGTATAATTTCCAGGCAGTCCACTTTTGCATACGTGAGACCTGTACGTCAGCAGCGTGAGCGTCTGAGCCGGAGGGTCGTAGCGCAGAGTAACACGTTGAGCAGGCATCTGTAGTCTTGTCTCGCGAAGAGCGTCTGACATCGCGGTGGCCGCGGACAATGTTGTCATTCGACATCCAGTTTGCGAGACAGGCTGGAATGAAACGTCTCAACCGTTTTGCTTGCCAGCTTCGTGGCCAGTGATTGCATTCCAATGCATTGGGACCCCAAGAAGATATGCCGCAGTAGCCATGGCAATGCCAACGCAACACCTTTTATGCAAGCCCTGTTCACTTTGTTCTCAACAGCTTCAATGATAGCATCATGCGACGTCAATCTTACACAGCAGTGAGGCTCTGCCGTTATTGGGTGTACAAGGCATTCCTTGGGCTTCTGTTGTGCTGACCTACATCGGAGGTATTTGATCGAAGCTCGTATCAGCCTCCTGTTCATGGGCATCCTAGCTTGCATTGTCACATCAGGTCTTGGAGTGGTAGATGCTGTGTAGTGTTTCCTCTCTGTCGGAACCGCAGCTCTTGCTGTTTGAAGGCGTATGAAGGGGTCGAACACGCCATTGAAGAGATTGGAGTGTGCAATCCGGACGGCCCGGATGTGCAACGAAGCTGTCAAGCCAAAATGAAAAGATCACAGAAGCACCCAACCGGGAATGATCGCATCTGCAGTACGAACGGGCAGATACACTGTTGTGTCACAATCAGGGAGAGCTCACGGCACGACTCAGGAGTAGCTGTCTTGAGTCCCTCGAATCCAGACTCTCGGGATGAATTGAGCGGGATTCTGGTCCAGTACCAAGGCATGATTTGGCGGCGAGTCAGTATTGATTCAGATCAGGGTCTATAGCATCAGTCGTGACCAGTGGTTCGTCTTCGCGACACGCGTTGCCCACTTCCGGCCGTGGTCTGCGAGGAGGAAGTCGACGTGTCTGTTGGCTCGCGCGCCTGTATGCAATACGGCTCGGAGGCCCTAGCATCATTTGGACCCCTGATCGAGGCTTGCTGCATCATGCTGTGCATCCAAGTGGCGGTGGGGTATTGACGACGACGCAGAGTAGTAGCTGTGAAGAGAAGAAGTGAGAACGACGAGCTCAGAGCGACTCAGGACGGGATCATCCGGACCCTGATCATCGTGTGTATTGTTTGCATTCGTGTGGGCGTAGAGAGATGTAAGCACGTTTCGTTTAAACTCTGAATGCTGGCACATTGGTAGGGCACGCAAGAGGTTTCTCCGGCTCATCATCGCCGAACGAATGGTCCGAGATGGAGTGGATCCTTGGGGTGGATATACCATAAACTGTTCTTGCATGGCGACTTTGTAGTAGGCGGCAACCGGCACACAAAGCAAGTCATCGCTCTTTTGATTTACAGCCATTCCATGCGTGCCATGGTGCTAATCTGCAAGTGCGTATGCATCCGGCGGGCTGCGTCGAGTAGGTGCAGGAACGAGAGGCTGCCCCTGCAGAAGCGCAGCATGCAGATCAGTTTGCAGGGTTCGAGGCAGGCGCATTCGTGGAGCGCCGGGCAGAGCGTATCCTTTGACATGACGCCGCGTCTGGCCGGCAACGCAGGTGAGTTTGGCCACGAGCAAGTTTGAGGCCCGTTCCAGACGGGCACACAACTGCTGGCTGAGCGGCCAGGCGCAGCACAGCTCGCAGCACCGCTCATCGGCGGCGCAGGCGAGAGCTGGCGACGGTGAGCCACTGTGAAGAGCAGTGGGGTTCGCGCAAGGAGCTTCCAAAGCCGAGATACGACATGGCGGACGTCGCTGGCCAATGGGAGGGTCACGAGACGCGCAAAGGAGAGGCGAGGACGGGATGGTGAAGCGGCGGTCCCGAGCTCACGCACGCATTCGTGGACGTGGAGATGCGCAACGTTGTCGTGTTCGCAGGGCAACGCTGCCGGAGACAGGCTCTCTCCTGCGCTGTCTAAGCCTGCCTCTGTCGAGCGGGCGCATCGATAGGCAGAGGGCCAGATAGAGTGTTGCCTTGCGACCACCTCATGCTGGCCCGAGCCAAGGCTGACTGTGGCCCTGGTAGAGTTGCATCGGGCGATCCTATAGTTAGCGCAATGCCCTCTCACGTACGACGCCTCGTGTGTGAAGACGAGGCCCAAATTAGGCACTGCTGGTCGACGACTTCAACAACGACAGCGATGCCCGGATGCCGCGGCGCGCGCTGGAGCTGCGGGCGCAATGCGCGTGGATATGCCAGATCGGGTAGCGTAGACGTGTGCACGACGTGCGAGAGCGCCCGTGGTTGCAGCATGCAGCGGCGCGCCGTGTGCAACGCAAGCAGACAGCGGCGCGGCAGCCAAGACGACTTCATCTCTCCTAGTCTGCACAAGGCATAGCGAGCGAAAGTTAATAGTGATGTGTCCGTGCACGGTCAAGCGAGCGATTGTCTCTCCGCTGTCCAGTTCCTCTTCACAACCCACCGCCGCCGTCCACCTCGCCGGGCATTCCATTTGAGCAGCCAGCAGCACCACCACCGCTGCTCCTCGCAGTGTGCTGTCCGTCGCTCGCGCACGCGCTCTCGCTGCCGTCCACTCCTTTTTGATTATTGTTGTCGTTCTTTCGCGGTCGGGTACCCCCAGTGCTTTTGCTGTGCCTCTTGCTCTGCGAGCAAAGCCTTCTATCTGTACGCCTCCTCCCCGCCGCCGCTGCACCGCTGTGGCGTGCGCGCTTGAGTGCCTAGCACTACGAAGACATTGGTCACTGACATGGCCGCGCTCTAGTAATAATCGTATTTGCCATTGGCACCTGTCGTCGCTCCTCGCATCCCGCCGACTGTCCTCCTCCGCACGCATCCTCGCTCGCACGTCCCGGACGTCGCTCTGCCACCACGGCGACCTTGGACGACGCAATTTCGATGTTGCGACAGACCTGTGGACGCCCATTGTTGTACAATTAACTTATTCGACGTCGACATCAAAGCCACCTTTGTCTCGAACTTCGCGATAATGACCGAGGTTGCGGCGTCAGGCTCCCGCGGATATTCGCATGGCGTTGGAAACACCCTTTCTACTCCGATGATGGCTGCTGCCGCGCCAAAGATTGAGATGCAGCCGAACCCAGAGTTCTCTTTCCCAAGGCTTCCTCCACCTGGAGATCACACCCTCAACCTGGAACCCCGAAGAACGAGCCATGGGCGACCACTGTCCATGAATGTTGATGTGAGGCCAGCGACTGCAGATGCGCGTAACAGCCATAAGAGGGCAGCAACACAGCAGTTGCCTACGTTCAAGTTCAATGCCGGGGACGCCTCTGGCCTCCAAGCGGAACAGCTTCCTTCACAGCCTGTGGAACCAAATGCCATGACACCATCACGGGGAGGACACAGGAGGAACCACAGTGAGCTCGTAGGCGGTGTTGGCCTGAACAGCGCGATGAGCTCCAGCCCAACTAGGCCTTCTACCTTGGATAAGCCCAAACGAGCGCACCATTCGCATCGACGATCCGCAGCGATATCCTCACATGAGATTCATAAACTTCTAGCTGCAGCCGAGCCCCAACCACGCTTATCCAGCAGCCTGCCGAGCACCCCGCTCGACCACCCATTCGCTCACCAACGCTCTGGGTCGAACGCTGCAGCGCTCCACGATCCTTTTGGCCCTGCTTTGGATAATACCGCATCCACTCGTCCTCCATCCCGTCGCCAAGTTGGATTCTCAGAGAATGTGGAATACATTCCACGCCCTCTCTCGACAATATCTTCGGAAACAGAGAGCTCATTGAACACCATTCGAGGACACTCTGTTAACAACAGTATATCTTCAGTTCTGAGCATGACTACCCCAAGTCCACCTGCTCCGCGATCCCGCGCCATTTCCCTCGAGACCACCTTGGAAGACGAGCCCGACTCGTCTCTGAAGTCGTCCATCGAGACCGCCAGACGTGTAGAACGTGAGGGAGAATGGCTCAAGCACGGATCTCAAGCAAAGTTGGAGCGACCATCAACCGCCTCCGATGTCCTTTCCAAATCTCTCACCTTCGCGGCGGACAACGTCGTGGCTAAGACGCGTTCACGGACAAGCAAGAAACACGCGGCTAGCCGCTCATTGGGCTTCGACCGCCGTAAAAGCGAGCCAACCATCGGCCTGCTTGCCAGCGAGCCATCGCGTCTTTCGGCGCTCTCCCTTCAAGAGTCCACCTCGAAGCTGAGTGTGAACACTGACGAAGACGAGGCAGTTTCGGAGCGACGTTTCTCGACCCGAAAAATCAAAGACTGGGCCGTGTCCAAGATCGCTCGGAGATCACGACCTCGCTCGGAAGTGCTTGCGCCAAAGCAGCCGATGCAATTCGAACCCGAAGCCCCCAGATCCGTTGCCGAAACAGACCTTGATGCCGTCTTCAGCATGGACAATGATTCAGATATCGTGCACGACCGATCTGTGCCCGCGCCGTCGCAGCTTGACGTTCCACAGTACATTCAGCCAATCCCTATTCGCAACCGCGACAGTGAGGAGGGAGCCATGCTGGACCTGGATGATGCTCTGAGTCGCCCAAAGACGCCGACTCAAGTAGGCATGCGACGACGGAGGATGCTCCATAGCGACCGCGGATTCTCCGACTTTATCGGACCAGGTGCTCATTACCAGCCGCGGGCGACTCATCACCGGACTGCCAGCGCTCCCGTGCTCATGGCTTTCGATCAGTCCCGGTCTGGAACACCCCCGCAAACAACATTGGCTGTGTTTGATGAAGAGGAGGAAGATCAGTCGCCAGAGTCGTCCGCACGACCAAGCAGCACGGTGTCGACTAGCGACGACGAGGGTTCTACGGAAGTTTCCGTCGTCGATGCTGACCCGACAATGACAAGTGCTGCGCAAGAGGCCAGCCTAGACGAAGGACTCGGAATCCAGCGTAACGAGTGGGACCTCGAAACGCCACATTATACCACCTCAGCTTCCCGGCTGTCGACTCCTGCGATTGAGCGTCGGGCGAGCTCCATTATTGAACAAACGATATTCGAGGAAACCAGCCCCGTCGAATCCGTTGCCATTGCCCATGATGCGGAATCTTTTGAACAGAGCATGGACTTGCGCGCGCACTCACTCACCAAGTCTTCCGATAGCAGCGAGGCGCCAACGATCATGGCGGCGCCCAGTAGCTTCCTATCGCTACCAGACGATCCGCATGCGTATGCCACGCCCGAGACGTCAACTTCTTCCGCATTCTCATCGCCAGATTTCACTCGTCGGCAAAACTCGTTTGAGGCTTCTCGTGTTGGTACATCCGCATCTTCCATTGCGGACAACCGCACTATGAGCTCATGCACGACGGGTGAAGTGCAACAGGATTACAGGATGTCTGTGGATGATGTGCCGTCCCTCACAAGCTCACGTTCAACCATGGTCAGTACTGCGCATGCAAACTCATCGCGACGCGATGTCAGCGGACTGCGCACCCCGTCCTTGACCTCTGGCTCGCTTGAATCCGCTGAGAGCCGACGACGAAAGCGCGCTAGCATTCAGAGTCTGTCACAGCTGGTAGGCGGGCCATTTGGACCTCGATCACAAAACGTCGACGAGACTAGACCATCAACAGCAGCAACGGAGACCATTCTTTCACAGCCCAAGAAGAAGGAGCACCGTCTGAAGAAGCTGATGTTCTGGAAGTCGAAACGACAGTTCAGCACTTCTACGGTTATCTGATTCAGCGCGGATGCATTACTTTCTACCAGCCGTCATTTGGGATTGTTGGGGGTTATTTGTTTGGGACGGCGGCTTCCCACAAGGGAGACTGCCTTGATGAGCGTTATGCGATGGGATGAATTACCAGCTTCACACACTGCAAGGTTGGGCACGAGGAATATTTTGCGGAGTTACGAATGGATATGTAGAGGCATGGACAAGGAGGACGACGCCAGTCATGCGCTTTTGCAATCGGAGCTACATGTGACTGTAGACTTTTTGGACGTGGATGAAGACCACTATGAATTAGCTCATGGAATGTAACGAGAACACAACATGCATGTGGCTTGCGGCTCAAAGCGGTATTTCCATCATTCCAGAAAGACTAGACATCTAAACAGTTGCCGCATCACTGACAGAATGCGCACAGCGCAAGCACATGACCCGGCCGAACTCTAGATCGTTGCACGCGCAATGCTGCTGATTAAGGACCTGTCCATGGCGGGACAGAGGCGTCACAGTGGAGATGCGCGGGCTTTAGAGTTGACCTGGGGGAAAATGACCCCGGTCTAGCAACCGATCGTAACCAGGTAAGTGACTTTTGCGGTGTCGTAGAGCCCCAGCAAATCAATATGCATCGCTCACAGTAACACAAGAATAGAAGACGATCGTACCGGAGCACATGGCAGTACGGATACGCGTCATCGTCCACGCGCCTGCTGTTCGTACGAAGCAATGGCCAAGGAGAACAAGACTTTGTAGCGGCGGCAGATCGAAATGCTGAAGGTGCGCTAGAGTTCAGACGGTGTCGTGTCATTGGTAGACGGCGTGTCTCGCGAGCTTAGTTTTGATGAAGCCTTCCTTGGCTGCAGGGGAAGCAACGACGCACCCCTTGGCACAGGCGAGGGTCGATGTTTCCTCTCTCTTCGTCTCGCCGCTTTCCCTCCTCGACAACTGCTCTTTCTCTCAACCACGTTCACTGTGGTTTCTTTCTATCGCTTCTAATTACTCTTGCCTCTCACTCGTTTCGAGGCTTCTTCCATCGACTGTTGTTTCTACTTCACCTTTCCGACCGTTCCGATCGTACCACCGCCGTCGCACGAGCAGGTATCACCACGGGCAGCAACATGAAGGGAGCCGCCGCATTGGTAGCGGCTTCGGCTGCGATCGCAAATGCTGCTGCTGCACCGAACAATGTCGCAGCCCGAGCATCAAAGATCCAGCCGGTGACTGTCAAGGGCAATGGTACGCAATCTCAAGAGCCAATGCAGACACGGCGTCCGCTAACGCAGAATAGCATTCTTCGCCGGCGACCAGCGATTCTACATTCGCGGAATCGACTATCAGCCGGGAGGTTCCTCACAGGCTGAGGACCCAATCGCAGATACCGACACTTGCCAGAGAGACATTGCTGAGTACGACCACGCGAAGCGAGCTCACCTCCGACAATCTGCTGATGCGTATGATCAGGTTCAAGAAGTTGGGCATCAACACTATCCGTGTGTACACGGTGGACAACACTGCAAACCACGACGACTGCATGAGCGCACTGGCAGATGCTGGCATCTATCTTGCGCTCGACGTCAACTCTCCAAAATACTCAATCAACCGCGACAAGCCGGCACAATCATACAACCCAACATACTTGCAGTCCGTATTTGCCACGATCGATGCTTTCCAGAAGTACGACAACACACTTCTTTTCTTCTCCGGAAACGAGGTGATCAATGCAGACAACAACACCAATTGCGCGCCTTACATCAAGGCCGTCACTCGCGACATGAAGCAATACATTGGCAGCATGGGGTACCGCAGCATTCCAGTCGGCTACTCCGCCGCTGACGTCGAGAGCAACCGATTCGAGATGGCTCAATACATGAACTGCGGTACCGATGACCAGCGCAGTGACTTCTTCGCATTCAACGATTACTCTTGGTGTGACCCATCTTCCTTCACAACCTCTGGATGGGACCAGAAGGTGAAGCAGTATGCCGACTACAGCATTCCACTTTTGTGAGTTCTTCGCCCAATCCACTTCGCGATTGCAATACTGATGATCAACAGCCTGAGTGAGTACGGATGCATCACCAACAAGAGACAGTTCCAAGAAGTTGCCTCTCTGTACGGTGACGACATGACCGCTGTTTACTCTGGTGGCCTCGTCTACGAGTATTCTGAGGAAGGTAGCGGATACGGCCTTGTCAAGATCGATGGCAACTCTGTCACCGAAAAGGACGACTTCCAGGCTCTCGCCGATGCTTTCGAGAAGACCAAGCCACCGAGTGGCGATGGCGGCTACAAGTCGAACGGTAGCCCATCGCAATGCCCATCTCAGAGCGACACTTGGGAGGTCACCGATTTCTCTGGCGAGGAATTGCCAGCCATTCCATCGGGTGCTGAGAAGTACATGAAGGATGGTGCCGGAAAGGGCCCAGGTCTCACCGGTCCAGGCTCTCAGGACGCTGGCGGTGCTTCTACCAGCACTGCCTCTCCAGGCTCTGGCAGCGTCACTGCAACCTCTAAGGCCGGTGCTACATCTTCTGGCGCTGCTGCAGGATCTCTGGTCATGGGTGAGATTGGCTTTGCGCCTTTCATCTGCACCGGTGTGGTCATGATGTGCTCGCTTTTGGGAGCCGGTCTTTTCGTCTGAGACTGGTCGCGAGAATATGGCTGAACAGAGTGGTGTATAAATTCGCTGCGGCGAGGACTGCTTGGGATCACAAGGGAATAGAGGTGCTGCTGCTACCGCCAGCGCACAAATCATGATGGCGTTGGATGCACCATAGTTGAAAGGAATGTTTATTTCTGTCATTTTCCAACGCAGTGCCACTTCTCCAACCTGTTCTCTTCGTGCCATCTCTTGAGGCTGATTGTGATTCCATATGGACACAAGTCTAGTTTCTCGCTACTGATGAACAGCTCATGGTTCATGAATAGGCGGACTAACCACAGTAGAGTCTATCACCTTGTCAGAAATGAGTCATGTCATTCATCCTTATCTATTCATGTAAAACTTCATGACTTCTTCACTGCCGATATTGAATGCAATTCTATGCATATAGCACTTCCGAAACTCTAAACTTCCTGATGCCACGAGTGCTTCGCAAGTTCCCATTCAAGCATCCACGACTCTACCGCTTCCACTAGATATCTCTGCGTCTTGACGATTCTGGAGGGTGGGAGCTCGGCTGTCGTTTCGTTTGGTAGAAGGCCGTTTTCGTCCCTATTGTTATCACATATCTGTCAGTTCCTGCGGAATGGCAATAAAATTTGATGATTTTTCGATCGCACTATACTCACCAATGATGAACGGCCTCGGAAATAAAAATAAGAGGTTCTGAAGCTGTACTACTCCGATTCTTCGCTCCGAATTCAAAGGCGTGGGGTGTAGCTGGGTACCAAGGATCCCATGCTCCGTCTACGATCGCGAGGCGTGGATATGAGAGATCGTAGCCGCCGTATTGGTTTATGATGTCGACGTTTGCGGGTTTGGTGATGTTGAAACCGTATTTACAGACTAGAGATAGGTATTCTGTGTCGATTGTGCGGGAGACGAGGGGTGGACCGTATTCGGGTGGGGTGTTGCCTGTTTGGAGGTAGCCCCATTCTGTGCAGTATTGGTATGGCCAGCTTTTCCATTCGGCGAGGGGGAGGGAGGTTTGGGCGTTGTAGGTTTCGTTGTGGCTGGAGTCGAAGTATGATTGGAGGGTTTCGTTGGAGTCTCGTTGGTCTTGGAGTTGGGTTGCGTTGAAGTGGCCTATTATGTTTAGGAGTGAGGTTGGGTTTGCTGTACTTCCGGATGCTTTGATTAAGGTCTCTAAGGCGGGTCGTCTTTTTTCGGTTTCTGGGTAGAGGACTTTGGTGGAGGTTATGTTGTCGCAGTACTTGTAGAAAGCGTTACTTGAGACGGCAGGGTCCCAGTTCAGTGCTTGCCAGGCACCCAGAGGATTCACTGTCACAGCTTGAGCAAAGGCATTATCGGGTCCAAAGCCTTCCATTCCGAAGACGCTTTTCAGCTGTCCAGACAGTTCAGTATCATTCTTGTAATAGATGATGCCGTCTACAAAGCTGACAAGCTTGCGATGAGCTTCGATGCAACCTGGCGGGCCATTCTCTGCAATGGGTACGTAGTAATGCCAGTAATCCCAGATGGCTTTGGTTACGCCAGAACTCGATATAGAGCCCCAGAACACATCCGGATAGATCACTCGCAGCAGAGCACTGAAAGCCCCGGCATATGAGCCGCCATAGGAGATATAGGGTGTAGTCTTCGCCGTGAGGTCGCCATACTTCTCAAGACCAGGGAACTGAATGTTTGACGCGAAGTATGCTTCATCGGCCAGCGCTTGTGCTGTGGTCAAGAATCTGAAGTTCTTGGTCGAGAGGTTTGGCACAGGCCACGATGTGCCGTAGTAGCGATGCTCCAGCACAACGCCAATGCCGTTTGTAGCTTTGGCTAGCTGGTGCAGAATGCCTTTCTGCAGAAAGGGGAGTCTGCCCACTCCGCTGGTTTCGCCTGATTGAAGGATAATCACTGGGCCACCAGGCTTGTAGTAGGAAGCATCGAACCAGTATCGAAGTGGGAACGTGCCGTTGCTGTGTGGCTCGTACTTTGTCTCGTTGTGGAAATGATCTATAGGAACAGAGAAGTTGTGTGCTGGGTACTTGGCGGACAGTCCTTCGGGTGTCGCACGCTTAGATAGAGCTGGAGCCTGTTCACGGTGTGAGCTGAAAGAACTGGATCGCCGTCTGCTTTCTCCCACCTTGTGGATATGTTCAGACCTCAAGTCTGCACCCAGGCGAACATCAATTGCATTCACGCTTGAGACAACAGCCAGTGCCAGGGAGAACAGAGCAGAAAAGGGCGCCATGGTGACGCGGTGAAGCAAGCAAAAGACAAGGCCTACGCCGAGCAATACAGTATCTTCCAGTGGCGCAGGGCTTATATTGTACAAGCTATGCAGCAACGCATCGCATCATCATCGGCTGCAGGTCAAGTGGAACTGGCCATGGTCGGAGGACAGATGAGGAAGGTGAGAAAGTGCAGTTGTTGCGAGTGTAACGTCGCAATCAGGTCCGAGCGAGGATGCCGTTGTGATAGAAGTGTGCCCCACGTGACCCACAACCCCGCGTAAACCTATAGTTTCAGCGTTTCTCAACATATTCAATTATTAATTA